ATTGTTTTAATGTAAAAAATAAGAAAAACTGTTAGTGTCTTCTTCAAAAGCGAATATCTCCAAAAAAATGAGGCTATTGAGATGAATTAAAACAAACTATGGAGGAAAGATACACCTAGATGATACAGTGATTTTTAAATTCCTTGTTTTGTTCACGTACTCCCCAGGGTGTCACAAACTTTCACCAAAATATCTACATTTTGTTTCCCCTCGTATAATTGACAGATGGCAACTTTGGTTTTTATTTTAGTAACAAATATTAATAAGGCTACAAATTGCTTAAGAAATCATCCAAATCAGCCCACTAGAACAAAATATATTAAACTTTAAAATACATCAAAATTTTAAGGTGCCCCTTTTTCGTGCTGGTGAGTGTAGTAGTAGCACGATTAGGTATCCTATAAGTATACAGAGAAAAATCTTGCCCCTAATTCGTGGTACGAAAATTGTTTTTTATGACGATGTGCAAACGAGTAAAATTTCCTGTGCGCAAAAATAAACTCGCCTAAAATAACAATAAACAGCGTAATAGAGAGATAGCGCTAAACCAAATAGCGTGCATGGACGTTAATAAGGCCAGGTGTTATTTCCTTTACGTGAGGTGGTATTAACACTCTTCATTTATAGTTATCGGATCGGAAAGAATTCTGTTCGCGTCGCGTCCGCTATTTAAACTTAACCTAACTTTGAATTTAAAACTTTGAAATTGTTTTGTTTACTAGGTACTTTAAAACTAAAGGGCTAAAGTGCTTATTTCCAGTGCTTTATTGTTCAACGTCTGCCAGTGGGTTTAGGGCAACAAGCAACAAATTCTCTTAGAAGGGCTAAGTCGTCATCTGCTGTAAACCTAAGCCTCTTTATAGGTTCTTTAATATTGGAAGAGGTGGAATCCATATTTTGGGCCATATTTATTTAATTAAAACTAATCCCAGCTACTTAAATATACCTAATACAACTAAAGTAATAATTCAAAATAATTCAAACATAACCTAAAATAAAAGATCTCGCCGGCCGGCCCCGGTTGTCAAATACTCGCACATGCCCATTTAAGCAATTTTTAAACGTTATTTAGAAATAGCGCTTGGTGTAATTGATCCGCAAATTACGTCAGCCGGTAATGTTATTAGCGGGTGTTGCGTTAAAAATTGACTCGCGCATATCGTAACCATGATAAGGTACGCGTAAATACTGCATGACGCTATTCGGTTTTCAGATAACTCTCTAATAACTGTGCCGGTCAGGCCCTGTGCACAATTTTACAGGCCATAAGTGGGCGTGCTAGGTGCCTAAACTAGTACCCTAACTAGAGCCCGATTCCGAAAATTGGAACCAGGAAAAACCATAAAGAAAAAACAAAGTTTATAATCTGTGGTAGTAGTAATGTTTTGTAAACAGCGCTGCGTTAAAAAACTAGAAATTACTTTATCTAACGAATTTATGTTCTAAAAACTTTACTAAGGAAATTTGTTTACAATTGTAGTTGTAGGTGCAAAAATACACTAAATATACTAAAAGCATTAATCAGTACTAAATAGATCACATATCCGAAATCCTTTATTTAAGTTATTACTAGGTCTAAGTTTATTTCTTTCAGAGTCCATTTCACTAGTCCGAAAAAGTAGCAAAATAAGCGTTCGGCACTTAACATTTCATGTAAAACTGGCTAGTTATTTTTACCACAAATGAAGAAGGAAATTAAAGATAAAGGATTATGCTATATCCGTATTGTCGCACATTTTTAGACAACTTCTTTATTTTTAAGATTTTGATGGTCAAACATCAACAAAATATTCCTTATGTTTGTACTAAACTTTTCTCGAAAATAAAGACATAATTTAAAATTCCGTTACAATACGGGAATAGACTGAAGTTTTGTGATTACAATCATATATAATTTATATGGTTTTATAACAAATTGCTCGCTATTTTATGGCAAACGCTGAAGCTCTGCAAATTTTAATCAAGCTTTAATCAAAGCACGTGTGTTTGAAATCTTGAATGTGGCTTAACATGACAGGATTGGGCTAAGCCTTAGGCAGATTTCTGAAATATAATATATATTTCCCTCGGCCACACACCCGCTTTACCCGACCCCTGAGAGCAACCCGAAAGTAGTCGGGTCGACAGTACGGCGACATAGCGTAAAGTAGGCGACAGTACGGCGTAATAGCCTCTTAATATATTTTCAGTAAGGTTTCTAGAATATTTCAGTTTTTGAGAATTTAAAGAACTATCGTAAAAATAGTTTAAATAGTCGGACTTCATTGTTAAACTGGGTAGGTATTCAGAATATTTATATTTCCATTTTATTGCGCAACGGTCAACTACTGCTCTCCGATTTCTTACTTTTACGGATAACGTTTTAGGTGAATGGCTTTTCATGGTTTATGTCTCACGAGTTAAAACCGGCCTTTAAAATGCCAATTCTCGAGTCTAGCTTTACGCCAGTAGAATTTAAAATTACGGCTTTAACTCAGTATAGGAAAGGTTTCTACCAGACATCTTTTTGAGGAGAGTTTTACACTCTGAAATAAAACAGGAAGGTCTAAGTAATATAAGTCTAATTAAATTGTTAACAACACAAAACCATTAACTTATTATCAAAATGTTAACAACACAAAACCATTAACTTAATTTTTAAAACATGTATATTACATTATACTTGTTTTAAAAAGCGTGACCCTCTCTAAAATTTATTACATGCGAATATGAAAGGGTCCATTGTGCTCATTGAAAATGTTTTTTTGTTATGGCAAAGCCATTTTTTTATAAAATTCTAAGCTGTTCAGTTATTACAACGCTGTTAGTTAATGGAATTTTAAATAATAAACCGAGTATCACATAAATATTTAATAGCTAACAAACCGCATGTTTAAGAATATTAACTGCTTTTCAAGCCGCGTACACACTTAGCGAACGCATACGTTCGACCAAATCCGCACACATGCGGTGATTTTGTTTGAAGTACTCTTATCGCTGTTCGCTGTTACGTACACACTTAGTGAACGCATCATACATCTGTTTGCGTGCGGTAGTATTCCCCTTGAAGTACCGCCAAGTCAGCGAACGAAACCGCACGCAAACGTATGCGTTCGTTGCTACGTACACATTTCCCGAATTCGTTCGTTCTAAGCCACGCGGATTTACAGTGCCATACGTGTGCGTCATCGGTGTTTCACAAGTACACGGGATCTACAGTTTATCACCGAATACGAACGGCACTATTTGAGAGGCTGTACAAGGCAAATATATTCAAGGTGATTTGTTATTGAGGTAGTACCTCTCGCACTCATTACTGCTTGCGCTACGGCCGGCCACCAAGAAAGAATATTTATTATATTTATACAGTATTTGAAAATAAGACTGTGTAGTTCTTCAAAAACAAAACAAATTATTACTGGTAAAAATCTCTGAACCCCATCGAACTGCAAAAATATTGAATAGTTTATCCAATATCTACATTGGAGCTAGTTATACAGGAGAGCTTGAAAATACATAATTCGCTCAAAAGCATTTTTTTGGCATAATTTCTTTATATCTGTATTTTTCCATATTTAATAAACTTAATTCGTTTTTTATTAAATGCTTCTAAAGTGTCTTTAAAAAAGATACATAAAATTATCTATTTCAGTACTATTATTACCTAATTATTTTGTATTTAATTGGGCTTATAATATATTTAAGTCCAATTTAAACAGTATGCCAATTAAAATTTAATTCTGCGATTATTTATTTGGTTTCTAGAAATAGGCAAAGATTTGACATTTTCTGTATCAATTCCGGGGGTAAAAGATGTTAAAGATTTTGACTCACTGCATTCGAATAATAACACAGAAGAGGATAATATAATACAATGAATGGTATGGAGGCAGTATTGTCATTGCAGTAATGGATGTGCCGTAATTACTATAAAGCTGAATGTACTTCTATATTGTTGCTTAAAAGGGTTCCTTCATTGACACAGATGAATCTTTTATTAAGCTATTGTTGTAGTATTAGGCAAAGAAAAATAATCATGAAATAAAAGACACAATGTTCAAGCTTAATACGGGGTGCTAGATGGAGCTAACGTAGTAGCAAAAAGTTATTATATTTCATATTTTGTATTGTTTATAGCGGGATTCGGAAATTGAAATAATATACAGGGTGTGCCAAAAAAAAGAAAACATCAATTTAACACAGCGATACTGTGCATGAAATTTGAAGGATGTAATCTAAAAAAAGTGGCCGGCCGTGGCTCCAGCTGTAGTGTATCGAATTTCTGTGCGAGCGGTACTGGGTTCGATCCCCAGTCAGTACAATCGCTTTATTTATTTAAATAATAAAATGTATTTATCTAAACAGAGCGATTAGCGAGTTGCCACCTCAATGGAAAGTACAAAAATACTCTAATACCATAGAGTATACTGAGTGGTTTTTGAACTATGACCATTTATAATATTACATTTTCTACACACTTAAAAAATCTCTAAATTATGAAATAGTAAATTCAATATATAGTAAACGCCACGAATGTTTGGGAGTGATTCATCGCTTGATGAAGTTAGAATCGACACGCGCGCTATCATTTTTACATTAAAAACGTTAATTTTTACCGCAGACGTAGGTTTTTAAAGGCCCGGTCTAATCATCTGCCTGCGCTCCCCCTACTTATTCTAAAATGTTAGCGTGAATGACACAGACGATACTATATAGCATTTCTTTGATTGATTCGTTTTTGTGCGTCAGTCCATTGGTGTGCTTGCAGTGCGACCAATGGGGCATTCCAGTTTATATTTATAATCAAATACAGTTAAAACAACAAATAACAACAGATTATATATTGATTATTATATGACTTGAAACACCACGGCACTGTAATTAAGTTTTATGTGACCTTGAACAGATTAGTTCATATGGTAGCGACCGATGAATCACTCCCAAACATTCGCGGCGTTTACTATACCTATTTTTTCTAATTGGGAAGTTTAGGATGACTTAAAGATTTATATTTTTTTCAGAACCTCAAAAATCAAATTATGACGACAAATGTATGGGTTGAACAGGTATGTATAAGACTACAGAAATGAATGAATTGTTTTCATTTTTGCAACTAAATAGTCGGCCGACTGAAAATTGCCTGTCAGCCTGTCAAAATATATGGTTAATATTTGTTTGTTATTATTTTCTTTATTTAATAATATTATTTTTATATATTATATGAAATTAACCTTATATATTACAGGCAATTTTCAGTCGGCCAACTATTTAGTTGCAAAAAGAAAAACAATATATTCTTATGGAGCCGATCGATCCACTATTTGATTGCATATGAGCGGGGTTCCATACGAATACATTGATTACAAATCTGTAAATAAATAGTCGGCCGACTAAAAATTGCCTGTTAGTGCATAGCTTTATGTTTAAGAGCTCGAACACACTGACGACCAGATCGCACCGGCCAGGCCGCTGCTACCTCTAAAACCATTAAATCAAATGATACCGCGCACACTAACGTCCTGGCCGTCCGTTGGTCGTTGTGACCAGTAGACTGCACTAAAATACTATTACTTTCTGCCCCTTGTTGCCGGTTTTCTTCCAAATTAATAATTTTTCAGATGAAAGCCCTCAAATTCAACGCACAATATTTCATTTTTTATAAGATATAGTGTTTTAGTGTAGTTTTTACACACGTGCAGAAAATCCAAAGAAATAGTATACAGACTGGATTAAAGGGAAACTTAAGTATAGTGAATTTTATATGACATCATTTTTATATGACATATTCTATTTATGGTTGGTATGATACCTGTTATTATACCTTCGAGTTTCGATGTTAAAAGATAAAAAAATCACATTTAAAGTTTTACTACAACCACTTGTTTTTTTTTATTAAATTAATTTTTTTAGTTGTATTGTAGTCATGTACAAGGAGAACAACTGTATTTTAAATATTATATTTAATTTAACGTTTTTCAAACAAGGTCCATTAGACTATATTTCTACTAAGTACATTATTTAAAAAAAAAGAGTAAAATTAACTTAAACATTCATAAAAATAGAAGTATTTACTGTTGTAGATTCTCAGTAACAATAAAAAAGAGGAATTTATATTGTAAACATTGAATAACTGGAAGCTAAACTTTCTACTAGCTTATATTTAGAGCCAGTGTCTGACGACCTTTTTTTACGATGGCCCTAATATGTTTACTTCTAAAGTCGATAAGAACCATCAGTAGAAGTCCATATCAGTAGAAAAAAGAAACAGAATATCTCCCTTTTTGTCGGTCGCGCGTACAGAATGCTTTTTGTTTGGCCTATTTGTTGTGCTTGTTCGTGTGCGCTCCGTTCGTTCGGGCTAAAATGCCGAAGTCTGGATGCACCTTTAGGAACATTATTGTTTTTGTCCTTTATTGATATAATGCTGAAAATCTCACGAGTTACATGCCTCACTCTACACATATTAAATTACATAGATGTAGGATGTAAAATATTCTGTTATGAAACGACTGATGTCATAGCAGGAGGCATCGCGGATTTGAAAAACATGGAAATAACGACGTTATCGTATAGTCGGGGTTGGAGATTTTACTTACTCCATTTACTACACCAGTATTTATTAACGAAAAATCCAAGAATATTTTAAATGCATTATTTAATATTAGAACATTTAATAAGCTCATGAATAGCAACTTCGCTTTTTAGTTAACTCGGATATTTTAACATTTCTGAAACTTAATTCTTTCTGAAACAATATTTTCTAATTGGTAAAACGTAAAAAATCGTTAGATGTGACAACTCTATTGAAACTGGTCGTTCATCTGGCCGCAGCTATAAACGCAATACGCAATACGGCCAGTCGTTGCGACCTGGTCGTCAGTGAGTTCGAGCTCTAAAACAGTGATCATCACTGAACTTCTCAGTCTTTTACGGACATTGAAAATCCTTTAATACTGCATACTATGTGTAAAATATTCTTTTAAAAAAAATCTACAATTTAATGGAGGTCCTCCAGAAATTTTATGTTTCTAAATTTTACTAAAATATTTTATTCTAACACACTTTACATTTATTCATAGACTTTTCTACATAAACTGAATATTATTTTACTAAATTTATCCTAAAATATAAAACAAAGTGAAAATCCGGAAATAGAATGTAATAAACATTACAATTAACTAACTATATTTGTGACATAAACTCTGCCAGAGATAGCTAAATCTGTTTAATTCCTGTTTCTGAAATACAATTAAAACTTTTGCGGTTATCTTTTAAAATGGCAGTTGAATTTTAAAAGTTTGTTAATTATTTTCAAATTATTTTGATTGCCAGGGACAGAATTTCTTTTATTTATTATTTGGTACATTATGTTTCATATTTTATTATTTCTTTTTCATTGTCTTTTTGTTAAAAATCATTTGATATGACTTGTTTATTTTTTAGTTTATAATTTAAGGTGGTTCGACTAATCACCTTAACAATTTATATAAACTAAAAGGCTGGACTTCATATAAACGGGTCTCAGAAGACCTTAATTCGTATATGTGGTCTTTCTTGAAAAAATCTTTATTGGAAATAATTTCTGATAAATTATTACATTAATTCATGTAAAAATAAATTCCTGAAATTTGTAATATAATATTCTTTGATGTTAACGATAATATAAATTTAGAATTAGGATGAAATATAATAAACTATTTTAATTATTTCTGTTATTTGTAGTCATGGTACGATTATAAATTGACTTGGAATCCAAAAGAGTATGGTGGTGTTGATATGCTCCACGTACCATCGGACCATATATGGAGACCTGATATAGTTTTATACAATAAGTAAGTAACTTTTTTTCAAACATATATACAGGGTCTCCCAGAAATAAGTACAAGTTTTTTAAGGGGTGGTAGATCTGGTTAAAAGAAACATTTTTTCTCTTTACCGTTTGTCAAGTAAGTCCAAAATAACCGAGTTACTTTACTTTGAAAATTTAAACAAAAAATGATTTTTTGCTTAAATTTCGAGAACCACTGGATCTTTTCTGGATTTTCTTTCATGTAAATTTAACCTACTACCTATATTGCCATATTATCAAGAAGTTTTTTTTAACTTAAAACTAAAAAAAATTCCAAATTTTCCAAAAAAAAATTTCGCAAAAAAACCTCATAGGCGTGTTTCTGAGGCCGAAATATACTACCATTTAAAATACTTACACTTATTTCTGGGACACCCTGTATATACTTAAACTTAAAAACAACTGTAACATTAAATTTGATTTGAAAACGTAACTAACAAGTAGACTTAATACCGTGATTGCTTTAGGTATTGTGATCTTTTTAATTGATAATTTTTTTCCCTCATGTAAAATATATATGTTACTGGTAATACGCGAAATTAGTTAATTCGCGAATTATCCGGTTAAAACGCGAATTAACCAACACAATCGGTTAATGCTTAAAGAATTATACAATGTGCAGGGCCGGACTTTACGAAGTTGCCGCCCCAGGCCAAAAAAAAATTTGCCGCCTTTTAACATTTTTTTTAATTAAAAAAATTACGGATATAAAAAAAATATTTGAATACAGGACCAACAACAGAATAGACCGACAGAACAGATCAACACAGAACATAAAATAAATATTAAAATATTTATATAAAATGACAACAAACGAGCAACAAAACAATAAGGTTTGCATCTTTTAAACAAGTCCCGGCAGTGAGCACGACTGGTTAGCCTCAGTGAATATCGCACAGCTCTCTTTTGTAATTTGAAGATACGCTCAAATTGAGTCGCACAACACGCACCCCAGAATGGAAGTGCGTATCGGAGCCTTTATATACCTATAAAGGTTTCCTACGTACTTTTTTGTTCGCAACATTATCAATTACTTCATCATTACCATCATGTTGAATGAATTTTCACAAAAAATAAATTACCCAATTCAAGGACAAAATCTGAAATAGAAGACTATTTTCAGTATATTTATCCAAAAAAAAATAGTTCCATGACATTGAATAATTTTTTTATAGGCCCTCAAAATTGCTTTAATTTGAAATAATTTTAAAGTGCCAAGTGATGACGTATGAAAAATACGCCCAATCGCATTGCAGAACCGTGCTTGTGCGCCAGCCAACAACATTGCGATTTGATTTGACCAGCACCACCTCAACTCAAGGCCAATCAAAATGATATGGGCAAGGCAAATATGGCGGCGAAGGCAGCGCATTATTAAAATTGTTTATCTTTAACCTGAAAAGCCGGTAGTGGTTTCTCGTTCCGATTGCATACCAGAAATAATTAATTATCTCTAGTTTGTTGTGCTTCTGCAACACATTTGTTTAGTTCTTAGTGTTCAGTGCATGGTGTGATCAGAAAATTGTGATAAAATAACAGTGTAATAAAAATCCAAACCAGACATTCCACATAGGGAACCTTTGTGCTTGTCGTACTCCTCTATTATTAATTATTTTAAGGTAAGAACTAGAAGTATTTATCAAGATATTACACCTAAATGAGTAAAAAGCCTTCGCCGCCAGTCTGCATAGTACTTTATAATGGTTACTTACAATAATCAAAAGATAGGTATTAAAGGGTAGGTATTAACATTTTATTGGTAGCATGCCTTTTACATGCTCTGTTCCAAATTGTCACGGGAATTATAGAGGGGGTCCCAAGGTTTCTGCTTTTATATTCTCCAAAAATGACGAGCTTCGTAAAAAATGGTTGATAGCTATTAAAAGAGATAATTTCACTGCTACTAGTAGTTCTCGGGTAAGAAGTGCATTAAATATGCCTCCAAAAGGCCAAAGCCTCTGTTACCCTAGTGAGGATGTAGTTATGGCTACTGCTTACACTTACCTCACATGTAAAGATAACGAGTAAAGAAAACTAAGCTAGGCGTAAGTTTTACACGAACCCCCAAAAGGGTATTTAGTTTTTTTTCTATATAAAATCTTGAAACACATATTATATTTTTTATTTATCCTCACCTATTATAGTTTAAATTTATTCCCATTTGTGTAATGCTGCAAAACATAGAAAAAATATTGCATATTTTTTGACCCAAGCCAGTGTAGTTTATAATTCCAAGAGCATTTACCAAGGCTTTTACTAAGACACAGTAACTTCCTATACTGTCCATAATAGTATATATTTATCAAAAGTTCAGTAAATTCTAAACTATGCTAGGTAAGTGTTTGCAATTGAATATTTAGTTTATATTGCAATTTTCTGTCATATATTTCTGGTTATTTCTTTTTCCGACGATTTTGAACACCCTATATATGCTACCTCAAGCTTTAATATTTTAACACTACCTATTTTCTGAGAAAGCAGACCTTTTTATAAAAAGTAACTAACTGATATTTTCATAAAAGTAATAATGCAAAAAATTCCATACTTATGTGGAGAACTTTAGACTCCCTGTATATTAAAAAATTAGTGAAATATTACCCGACAAATGAAAAATGTCTATTTGTGAAAAAAACAGGATTTAAAATACGCGCCAAATAAAGCACTTCTATCTCCGCCATATTGGAAAAGGTTGAATGGCCTTGTGTGGAGGTGGGGGTGGGTCAGCATGTTGGCCCGGCCGCAGCCGTGTTGCCGCTTTTCAACATGCCAGGTGTGACGTATTAAAAATAAAGTGCGGATTTTTATTCTGGGCCCGAATTCTGTAACTTTGACATAAAAACGTTACGCTTTCAAAGCGGTGAGCTAAAGTATGCGATAAGCGGAACGTCAAGCAGTCGATTTTGGTATTCTCGGTATGCTGTGCGAATCGTTTTCTGGATACGCGTTGAGCACATATTGACAGCATCGTAATTTCGCAGGTATCTAATAGTCAAATGTGACTAGAACAATGAAAAATGTCAATGTTACGTGAATTTTATAACCTATTGTTGAGTTATGTCAACATATTTTTCTATGGATATGTCATTATTCTTATTATACGAGGGAAATGTTGAAGACGCTTCTCAGCATTTTCGATGTTTTGAACAATATTTATAGCTACCACTTGTAATTTGTCGATTACTTATTTAGGAATTTATAGAACAAGTAGTAGTTTTCACTAAAGAGCAAGATAACGCACGAAATCACAATTTTTTCGATTTTCACTGACAGTTCGACAAGCAAAACGATCCTTTAAGGCAACCGTTTTCAAAGCGCTTAGCGCAATCAGTAAAGACGCTAAGCGCGTCAGATGAGAATACCCAAATCGTTAGTTAAGTGCGCGCTCAGCAAAAATTAACGTCATATACGCTGAGCGTCTAAAAGCGTTTAGCGTTTTCTACGTTACAGAATTCGGGCCCTGGGCTTTTTTGTTTTTATTTAAATTTTTCGAAAGTGAGATAGCTGAAAATTCTAGAATTAATTGCTTTATTCAATTATGCTAATTCTAAAATATAGTGAAAGAGCCCATTCGCGAATTAACTAATTTTGCGTATTACCCGTAATATACACAACACAAATTATGTACAGCATATACATATTATAAAAGTTGTGGGTGTCCTCCTTCTTCATCTGTCGCAGCATCAGAGTTACCTGTTGATACCAGATTCTGGCTAGATAGTATCAAAGATATTATTTTCTCAATTATTATTGTTGTCGGTTCCTCTATTCAGTGTATAGTATTATTTAATATTAATCATTTGATCTTCTTTTTGAATTTTATAAATTTCAATGTTTTTACCTCCTGTGCTAAAATATTAAATGTTTGAATTGTTTCGGTTGTTAGTCTAAGCTAGTATACAGAAAGGTGGAACAATGGAGTTGAGCGTTGTAGATCATATCATGGAGTATTCATATTTAGCAATGATAAAATCTTTAGCAATCCAAATATGGAAATTTCAACAATATGGCAACCACTCATAAAACGCTCCAATGCAGGTATTCTCAGTGGACAACCTCATACTTGACCGCGCCCAACTTCTTCACGAGTGAATGCTCGGCTCTAGTATATAAGCTCAGTAGTTTTAGGATTTATATTAGTTCACACTTGATAACGGTTAGTGATACTTATGACCAGGGTTGAAAAAAATCACGATTTAAAAAAAAACAGTTTTTTTTATTTAAATAAGATTTTTTTGTTCTAAATCAGATTTTTTTTTGATTTTAATACAAAACAATATTTAAATCGGATTTCCAAATAACTAGCACTTATCTCCAATTAAAGTCCTATCCTGAATGATTAAATATTTACAAGTCTGTCCGATACCGATAACATTATAGTATTTTTAAGTCAATTGGAAGAACTGAGACTCTTAATTCCTTGTCCCGATGATGCAAAAAAGCCTCCAAAGACAGTGCCGAAAGTAAGTCCCAATCTATTGCCACTGACTTTAGATAAACTATATCATTTCTACGGTGGATGTCATTTTTCCACATCAGTCACGAATATATTCCGCAAAAACGTCGTTCAAAACAAAAAGGTTTTTTTTGAAGCGTCGAAAGAGTATTAATTTTTGTCATTTTAACGCCTAGGCATAAAAGTAAAGTACTGTTATAGTCTAAGAGCTAGCAACGTTTTCGAGAAAGTATTTTAAGACGTCTGGCTCTTTGATATATCTTTTACTATGCACTCTAGAACAGCATGCGGTCCGTCTGGCTGCCGATACCCGTTGCGTTCACTACTGCGCATCGGAAGATCCTATATTTTTTATTAATTTAGTCCTATAAATTCTAGTATTGAACATAAATCGAACATGTTTCCATAGCGCAGTGCGTAGAGTTTCCGACCACGAACCGATGATTCAGAGTTCAAATCCGGGTTTTTATTTTATTTTCGTTTATATTCTGATAGTAAAGTATTAAATAATTCTGGTAATTAAATAAAAACAAATATTTAATACTTTACTATCAGAATATAAACGAAAATAAAATAAAAAAGTCTTTGCCCCGACCCGGATTCGAACTCTGAATCATCGGTTCGTGGTCGGAAACTCTACGCACTGCGCTATGGAGACATGTTCGATTTATATTCAACACTAGAATTTAAAGGACTAATAAAAATATAGGATCTTCTTTCAATGCGCAGTAGGGAACGCAACGTTTACCGGCAGCCAGACGGGCCACATGCTGTTCTAGAGAGGATAGTAAAATATATATCAAAGAGCCAGACGTCTTAAAATACTTGTTTTCCCGATGTTGCTAGCTCTCGTACTATTACGCTTAAGCAGAAAAGTACAAAAATATATTATTAAATTGATATTAAGTGTCATATTCAACAAGTGTACCAATTGTTGCTCGATTACTATTTATATTATTTCCAACGTTTGAAATTTATAAAAAAAAATATTTGTAATGTTTTAAAAAAATATACTATAAGTTCTATACGGAATCAAAATGTACTTTTTGTGCCTCTCTGTAACGTACAGCATCCTCAAAAAAAGTATAATTTATACTCCTAATAAAACAATACACTATAATTGTTCTGAAATAGTCTTAAGTCGAGAATGAAATTAGTATTATCTAATGTCAAAGTGTAAAGTACTTACTGCAGATGAAAATGCCGGTAGGAATTTGGAAAGAACTAGAAAATAAATTGGAGAAGGCAGAAGTTCTCTTGATCAACATACGTTCAAAAAACCGTTTCAAAAAAAAAATAAAACAACATATTTTATGACAACGATTATAGATTTTCGGGAATGAAGATATAGTCTAAGACCCTACTTTTGCATAAGACTTTGCAAATGATATGTATTCGAACAGCGAATTTTTATCTATCACTTATACATAAATTTTAAAATAAATCCCTGCGGTTTAGAGGTCTAATGTATTCACACGAAATTACTTCAAAAATCGGTACAGCATTTAAATTAGGACACATTTTTCTAGGACACATTTTTATAACTTTTACAGTTATTTTTTGATTCATTATAAAGTTTTAATAAACTTGATTTTTTTTTATTTAAATCACGATTTAAATCATGCCAACCCTGCTTCTGACCGAAACTTTGAGTAAGCAAAATAAAGACAATGGAAGTCCAATGTTATTTTAGTTTTAATACTGAAAAATTGTCTATTCTATTGTTTATTAAGTTATTTATTATGCAATTAATTTTCTTTTAGTGCTGATGGCAATTTCGAAGTAACTCTGGCTACCAAGGCCACCCTGAACTTCACCGGAAGAGTCGAATGGCGGCCGCCGGCCATTTACAAGTCCTCCTGCGAAATAGATGTAGAATATTTTCCGTTCGACGAGCAAACTTGCGTTATGAAGTTTGGTTCTTGGACGTACGACGGCTTTCAAGTAAGATTATTTTCAAATTTTCACACTGTCTGAGGATAGTTGTTTTATGGAAATATAGAGATAGCATTTTATGGTTGTCCCACTTTTAGGGCCTTAACTTATATTTTTTAAGCAAGAACATTCACTTAATAACAAATTATAATGTTTTTTTAATATAGTGTTAAGTTGATATACTAAGGGCTGGCAAAGGTTAGTCTTGGGTCGAGATTTCCGCATGTAAGAAGAGTGCAATGCATTTATAATGTACTGAACAAAGAGAGAACTGTAAACAGTGTAAACACGTTGCCAAACGTATGAAATAAATCGAGAAACTGTGCACATTGCTAAGAGACATGGAAGGGGATAAGCAGATTTGTCGCAATCGACCGGTCGACCCAATCAGTACCTCTCATCATGCGTTCAGCTTCAAGATTTAATTACGTCTCGTGATAATTTATTTGTTTATTTATTGACGAGTTGTTGTTATTTTCCCTATAGCTTGAAAATTTTTTGGTAAAAATAAGTTGAATTGAGTTGGTGTTCGACAGTAGTCGCGCTATTAGAACTCTGAATTCAGAAGTCAATATCTCGAAATCTATTAGAAATAATTGATTGTAGTTTTTTCAAAAACTTTCTCATCATTCCTACTATATTTTCTTCGCATATAGTATAACTTTTTTATTTATGAAGATTTTCACCTTTATAAATAAAAAAGTTACACGATTGCTGAAAATTGCTATGCACTAAAAGTAAATGGATGGGTTATTTAAAAATTTTGAATGGAAAAAAACAATCTTATCGAGTTTTTCTTATTTAAACATATTGTTACGTTTTTCGTCGGTTCCGTGTGGATAGAAAGTCACAATTTATTTAAACACTATTTATTTAACACTAATTAACAAAAATAATAACGATAAAAGACTTATAGAACTATTTACAAACGATTTATAACTAAGAATTTATTTTGAATTTTAGCGCGTCAACTGTATATTTATATAAATTATCGCGATTACTGACGTTTTATCGTTATAAAAAATGGACACCCTAACGATATCCTTATAATTCTATTTCAGATGCTCAGGAACATATCTAATGATTTTATCTATATGTGTGTTTGAAAACGTTTTTGAAAAGTTTTATGTCAATTTGTAATAAATGACATCTAGACATTTATCTAGAAATCCAAAATTATCATTGACTGTTTTTTTTTCGATCATATCTACTACACTACTATACAATCAAAAAATGGTTATCCTAACCAGAAATATTGTGAAACGGTATAGATAAAAATTTATTACAATTTTTACAGTTTGAATTTCAACAAATATGAGCAGTTAAGTACGAATGATATTATTTAATTTTAACATTTTTTCTCACACAAAATACATCATAACATTTTCACATTTTGCAATAATAATTTTATTTTCTATTTTCTATAGTAGTAAAATGGTTCAATTGTTTCTTTCTCGATCATACGGTAGTTTATATCAATAAGTGATATGTTTGACAAAGTATGTCACTTTTGGCAATGTGTATTAATAAAACTTAACTAAAAACTTTGTTATTTGTTTTTGTTAATGAAGGTTTAGCTGAAAAAGAGTTAAAGTTTGCTAAAAGTGGGACAAAATAAAATGCTGTCATTGTGCTTTACTATCCAAATTTAAAACGATTTATTTTAGATATCAGAACATGTATAATAAAAAAATAACGAATTGAAAAACATTTTTATTATTGAATTAAAAAAAGTGGGTTTCTATTAAAAAAAATATTTATGATCATTTTTTAATCTCTCAATTCCATGACAGCTACGACTAATATTATATGACATTCAAAGATTTTAATTTTTCAAAATAGATAGCCACATATCTTCTCTTCATTATCCAGTGGCTGTGGTAATCTGATGTTTAGGCTATACAAATTTTTTTTGACAGGCAGTTTTTTTCTTCTAAAAATTTTAAATATTTTTTTTTCGGTTAATGTTAGTTACACAGTGTTTGTATCAAAATTCATAAAAATTTACAGAGAATTTAAATTAAGAAAGTTGCTGTCAATTCTGGTATTTCCGGAAGTACCACCATATGGAAAATATTTTTAGTTGATAGATCTCATTGTATAACTGGGACACTCTGTATAAAAAATAAAAATCTGTATAAATCCTATTCACTGGAATAGTATAAATTAGGTATAAATTTAGTTACATAATTTATAAATTATAAGTTTTATAATTGGTTTAACAGAAACTTAATCAGAAACTAATTAAATTTGGGTATTTAGAAAAATAATTAATTTATGGTTAGGAATATTATTCAAGCGCCCAATTTATTCAATGAATTTTATTTAACCCTTTAGATTTTTTCTAATAAGTTCAATAATAAAATTAAATTGTTAATTAATTAATAATTTATTTTTTCAAATGGTATTATTTTAACATTTCACTTTTCTTCATTTTTTATTTTTTCATGAAAATTTATTAAACGTTTTTGGTTGCGAGTATCGCGGGGTAAACAAATGCTAGTATCGCGGGGTAAACGGACAAATGCTCTCTATACTCACCGGTAAGAAAAACAGGCACCTTAAAATTTTGATGTATTTTAATGTTCAATATATTTTGTTCTAGTCGGCCGATTTTGATGATTATTTAAGCAATTTTTAGCTAAATGATTTGGCTTTTTAATGTCTCTTTTTAAATTAAAAGTTTCCTTTTGTCAATTATACGAGGAAAACCAAAATGTTGATATTTTGGTGAAAATTTGAAATACTCTGTGGAATACGTTAGCAACTCATGAAATTTAAAAATCACTTTATCATCTAGGTACATTTTTTCTCAATCATTAGTTTTATGATTCATCTCAATATTTTTATTTTTATTGAAGATATTCGCTTTTAAATAAGACAGTAACGATCTGCAACAATTTTAGCATTGATTTTGGGTCCTCATCAACACACTTATAAAATAGTGTTTCTGTTTTTGTAATGTCACTATCATTGAAAAGTCATGGTATTATTTTAGATTGATGTCTACTCTAGTAGAGATAGTTTTAAGTACTGAACTATCGGCTATAGCTGCTTTAATTGATCATGGTAGAGATCAATTTTTGGACTTAAAACCATATCTGCTAGAGTAACTATACAACAGACAATAATAATTTGATTTTTCAAAGACAGTGACATTACATAAATCATAAACACTATTTTATAGGTCTGTTGACTAGGATCAAAAGCAAAGGCATGGTTTTAATGTAGGTAAGGCAATGGTTTTAATGTAAAAAATACGAAAAAAAAAATACAGCTATCGAGATAAATCAAAAAACAAACTATCGAGAAAAGATACACCTACTAGATGATAAAATAATTTTTACATTCTTTGCTTCGTTAACTTACTCCACAGGGTGTTTCGAACTTTGTGTCCGTTTTTCGTGCCGGTGTGGTGTATTTTTAATAACAGAAAACTTTTTTTTCTATTTCGGAATAAAGATCTAAATCACAAATCATTTTGAAAAAGACTTAATTAAGTTTTAAGTCAGCTAGAAATGACTTAAAATCAAATGACAAGTTATTAAAATAATTTAAATCAAAAAAAGACTTAAGTTTTTTATGAGCTTGCAGCTCTGACTGTACGATAAGATATTTAGTATACTAACTCTAACTGATTAACAAATAAAAAAAAACAAATAACTATAATAAATAAATAAGTATGCTGTTGCTAAAATAATGAAGATATGGTTGAATCACTATTGTTTGGCACTAGTGTTCTTTTACTTACGACAATAATAGATACAGATTCTAAAGGAACCACCCACTTTAATATAAAAAAACACCTTTTTCCTGCTTTATTCCTAGCCATTAATTTTCAGGTTGATTTACGACACGTCGACGAACTGAAAGGATCCAAAACGGTCGAAATAGGAATTGATTTAACTGAATTTTATACCTCCGTCGAGTGGGATATCCTCGAAGTTCCTGCTGTTAGGTAATGCTGCTTTTATCTACATTAAGAACCACAAATTTAGGGTCAAAATATATTTCAATTACTTGTATACCCATAAAAATATTTTTAATGAGTGCTGTTGCATGCTTTTGCGTAAAAAAGTATATTTTTCTCTGTTGCAGAAACGAAAAGTTTTATACATGCTGTGATGAACCCTACCTTGATATCACCTTCAATATAACGATGAGACGAAAAACGCTATTTTATACGGTCAATCTAATTATTCCTTGCATGGGAATATCGTTTCTTACCGTTCTCGTTTTTTATTTACCCTCTGACAGTGGAGAAAAGGTAAGAAAATTAATTATCGTAAATACACTAAGTTTTTAAACTAATTGTATTATGAATCGAATTATTATTATCAATTAATAATTGTAAAAAATATATAAACTTTTTTCAATAAAAAATCTTTCTATAAAATTAAACAAGTCTGTTGGGCTCAAAATCTATAGTCTGAGACTGTGCTATAGTCTGACAATGTGCGACATGGAAATAAAAACGAACTGATTTTATTTTATTCCACAGGTTAGCTTGTCAATATCCATTCTGCTGTCTTTGACTGTGTTCTTCCTCTTATTGGCAGAAATTATTCCACCTACGTCTCTGGTTGTGCCTTTGCTGGGAAAATTTGTCCTTTTTACGATGATTTTAGATACATTTAGGTAAAACTTGTTTTTGAAAGTTCATTTCAAATAAATTTTATATTACTAGTACTATTGAACACTGTGATGTTGTAGAGACACAAATTACCTATAACAGATGCGAAAGAACACCGAATTACGCGTTCAGGTTTCTGTGACCTTCAGAAAGAGTTCATAGACAATCCGCATCAATATATATTTTGGGTTATTATTTGTTTGGGTGAAAATAATCTGCACCAATATGTTATCGAGGCATAGAAAAAGGTCCACAGACTTCGAGACATACGAAAAATCAAGTCCATTTAGCGTGTGTCGCAATTTTCACACCTTAAAAATTAGTTTTTTATAGCTATAGCAACTGCAGCGACTATGAAAAAACCTGTGTGATTTTCATAGAAAATAAGGGCACCTGTAATTCATTTGAGAATGTTATAAATCGCTAAAAGAGGTTTCAAATCTCTTGGATTTCTATTAATATTAAATAAATTTTATTAAAAATTGAACTAAAATTGTTAGTATCATTAAAAACAATTCAAATTCAAAAATTGTATCAGTCAAATTCAGCTCATTCTAAGCTCTACTTATCTTTAAGAAAAATTTAAATCATTGTTGCAATTGGGCCTTAATGCCATTTCGAATGAACAATAGTATTAATAATGTACATTATAATAATAATAAATTTTATATCATAGTGTGTATTAAAACTACTAAAACACTTTTAAATTGGTATTATATTAACAACTTTTGTTTTTTAATCCAAAAGAACCAATTTAAAAAGTTACCAATTTTCTCAATCAAAATATTTGTGGTCCTTCGTTTTCCCATGTTCGTCAAGGTAGGTAATGGGTAAACAGTAAAAAAACAGGATAATGAAATTTAAAAAATTATAAAAATTGTTCAAAAGTGCCTCCCTCTTGCATTAAACAATAACCCAAACGATCATAAAATCCCCTCCTCACATTGGATAACATATCAGGGGTGACAGTGTCAAAGGCATTAAATATTTTCTGCCTTAACTGCTCCAAGTTTTGAATTTCTTCATGGCCGTAAATTTTAGATTTTATGTACCCCATAAAAAGAAATCGTTCACCGAGAAGTCAGGTGAAATTAAACGTCAGTCTAAACAAAACTGTCATTTTTGAAAACTTGTCAAAATTTGGACACACGCTAAATGGACTTGATTTTCCTATGTCTCAAAGTCTGTGGACTTTTCTGTATAATCTCACAGTAATTTAATAGATTGCTCGTCATATTATATCAGCTCGTAGGAGATTAGGAAAAAAAAATTTATAGTGTAAAAAATTAATTTATTTAACAAAATTTAATTAAAGATGTGACAAAATAGTTGGTTCCATTTCTATTGGTTCTATCGGACTTTTTTCGACTAATAAATCTTTATTTTTTGTAAACTTTAATGCATAAAATATTTTCAATCTAATAAATAATTTAATGATGTAAATAAGAGGAAATTACTCACATGGGTGGTCAAATTCTATAGTTTTCATTATATCAAACAGCCTCTGAAAGTTTTCTTCAGTGCAAAACTCATCAAAATTTAATATAAATAATTTTTCCAGCCTGTAAATAAAATGAACAAATTTTTCCACTTTCATGATCAAAGGCTTTTAAATGGGTAAATAATTTCGAGTTATCCAGAGATTCGGATTCTTTTGCAAATTTTAGACAAATATCACATTGATGTATTTTAATGATGTAGTCAAACATAATTAAAGGCATTTTGAGTTGAAAACATTTCTCAGAGGCTGTTTGATATAATGAAAACTATAAAATTTGACCACCCATGTGAGAAATTTCCTCTTATTTACATCATTAAATGATTTATTAGATTGAAAATATTTGATGTATTAAAGTTTACAAATAAAAGATTTATATAGTCGAAAAAAGTCCGATAGAACCAATAGAAAGGTAACTATTTTGTCACATTTTTTAATTAAATTTTGTTAAATTAATTTTATACTATAAATATCTTTTTTCCTTATAAATAAACACATTTGCATCCCATTTTAAATAAGATATACAAATTACCAAAACTTAGAAATAACAGTTCAAAAGTTCAACAAAAATCCTACACGCGTTTTTAAAAAGAAACATATAACCACGCACTGTCATTCCAGCAAGCGAATACGACACAGCATAGGTTTCCGGACTAAACGACTGGTGTATTTACACCACTCAATAGGCGTGTCGGGTTTGTCGAGCGGTTTCCGATGCAGTCGCTTTCTTTCGCAATTGTTATAGGTAATTTGTGGTAGAGAATAAAATTAGGAATTCTTTTAATAAACTGTAGCCACACTAAATATAATATACTCACCGGCTTGAAAAATGGGCACCTTAAAATTTTCATGTATTTTAAAGATTTAAGCTCCATTCAGAACCACGAAATTAATAGAATAATTTAGCGGTTTCAATTACACTTTATACTTTTTAGTTTACAGTTTACGATCATTCACAATGTTTAAAAAACACAATTAAAATTAACAGAATATCCTAACAACAGCTTGCGTTAGTCAGTTGTATCCATAGAGAAAACCTAATATTTAGCTTATAAAACATGTATAAAACAATCAGCTTTTGATTTCTAACCACACTTTCTTTGGACGGAAGATAATCAAAGGCCAACATGACATTTCTCGCAAATTTTGAAGAATAATTATTGGAAAAGTTAAGCTTGATAATTTTATCTACTAATTGAAAATGTCTACCACTGATTTTGACGTTCTGAATACTTACATTGAAATTAAAGGAACAAACTTCTACGCTAATTGTAACCACTAATTTATTCCACTGATTGCAAGGTTCTGACTGAAGCTTTATATATTGTGTTCTAGTGCGCCGATTGTGATGATTTTTGAAGCAATTTGTAGCTAAATTATTTGACTTTAATATTTCTTTTCAAATTAAAAATGAAAATCGCCATCTATCAATTATACGAGGGAAAACCAAATGTTGATATTTTGGTAAAAGTTTGAAACACCTTATGGAGTATGTTAATAAAGCAAGGAAGACGATTTTTTAGTATAAACTTTCTAGGACTATAATTCTTAGCCGATATACAAATAAAAGAGTTTAGAATTAGTATTAATTTCCATTTATTTAAAAAAAAAATTGAGTAAATTTAAAATTATTTCAGTATATGTGTCACGGTGGTTGTGCTCAATGTACATTTTCGGTCACCCCAAACTCACGTCATGGCGCCATGGGTGCGCAGAGTCTTCATCCATGTTCTTCCTCGACTTTTGGTCATGCGCCGTCCTCATTATATGTTAAATCGAAAAAGGTAAAGTATAGATTGATATAGATACTGCAATATAAATATACCAGGTGGTGCATAATCGTCTTTGGCAACATAAGAAATTCTATGCAAATTTTGAACTGTTCCAATATTGGCCCCTTGTTATTTAATATACAGGGTTGTTCACCTCATACGACACGGATTATTGTAGCTAAACGATTAGATTTTTACAAATTGTAATTTCTGGGTTCGTTGAAGGACTATTAGAGCTACAATTTAAAAATATATTTACAAGATACAGAGTATCCCAAATAAATAAAAAAAATTAAAATTTTATTTTTTTAAATGGAACACTTTGTATATTATTACATTTTTAGTTTTTACGATTAAAATAAAGCTGTGTTTAATTAAGGTTTATAACACTTTAACCTTACCGTTTTTGAAATATTTTCAATTTTGTGAAATTGCAGAAAAAAACTTATGGCTTCATTTCTCCAAGGGTATCAAAGTTTTTAATACTAAATATTTACTGAAGTTTATATATTGATCGGTTATTGTGTTGCAATAATAAAAATAATACTACCTCATACAGAGTGTCTAAAAATTTATTTTAAATAATTTCTAACTTTAAACGACAATAACTTGTTTAATTTAAATGGAACACCCTGTATATTTTAGAAGAATCAGAAACACAATTTAATTGTCTATCAAATTGTGTTATACCATTTTTTACCGATCTCTTCAAGTTTTCGTAAAAAATGCATTTTCTTATCATTTAGACCTTCTTATCATTATACCCATGGAATATTGACATTTTAGATTGTTTTTAAAGCAACAAATGTACAAAACGAACAGGTGCTAAAAACGATAATATTACTAACCCATTTGTATACAAAAAGAAAAGTATTTAAACCTTTATAAAAGAGATTAGTTTTTATAGTTATAATAGTAGTATTCTTTCATTCAGAAACTGAAAATTTTCACTTAAACTGATTTATTCCCTATACCACGTAAAGGGAACGTGGTGTAGGGAATAAATCAGTTTAAGTGAAAATCTGCAGTTTCTTTCAGAACGAAAGAGTACTACTATTATAAGGAAAATTATAAAAAAAGCAAAAATTGTACTGTTTTATAAACATATTTATTTATACATAAAAATAAATAAACTTTTTATAATATAATAACAAAAAATAACAGTGTTTATTCCACCCACCTACCAATTTTAAATGCAGAAGAACTGACTGTTGCAGGAAACGATCAATAATTTTTAAAGGGCATTAAAAATCTAATTTTCGAAAAAACTGCCTAATTGCAATAACAAAGTGAATATCCAAGCAAAGAAGACTTTACGAGAATCATGATCCTGAACCATTTTCAAGTCCAGTTTTAATCCTAAAACAAAAGTAAAATAGGTATATTAATAAAGTTTCTGGTTACTATAAACCAGCTATAAAACTACCCAAAAAATAAAAAAAAATAATTGTATTAATTTGTTATGTTAAGAGAGGTTCGAAATATTTTTGACACTACTACTTCTACTTTTTTCTTAATAAGATGATAAATATAACTACTTACTTTTATTTTACCGGGTGTCTTTAACATATCTATCAGAGAAAGGGAGCACAAATACATATAAAAAATAGATGATACTGGGTCCTGCAGCAAATAAAATAACAAATAGTATAACCGAAAATTATAAGTAACAAAATATAAATACCTATATGGAATAAAGGAATTTGTTCCCTATCCATATTCATAAGTCAATAAAATGGAGAGTTTAGAAAAAAAGGTAAATCACCAAAAGAAAAATTAACAAACATGACGAATTGTCATGATGTTGTCATCTTGGTTGTCATGATGACGAAAACGAAAGGCGATTGTTCTAATTTCTATTTAGAAATTACTTTTTATATGGTTGCTTCTTTTTCTCTTGTTATATTAGAATGAGATAGTGGGCCCAATAGACGCAATGCGCAAATCAACATAAATAGAACGAAATTTTGCGTTCTGGGTTGCGCTACGGGAACGTTGTCCCTCTCTTTGCCATTTAATTTGCCAGTCTCTTTTTATTTGTTTGTCTATGTGGTGGTCGTACTATGATGTGCAACGAAAGTTATTTTAATTTCCCTTATAAGTAAGTTTTATTGCAGATAAAAAATATAAAAAAGAAACTCAAATCAGAGTTTAAAAACTATATCACAAATCAATGAGAGCAAATATTACAAAAATTTTACGAAAAATTGCATTTTTCCTCACTTCAAGCTTTTTGTTTTTGTCTAAAAATTCAGAATTCGTTTTATAAGATATTTCTTAATTTTAGGGACCTAAAGTGAAACATTCCCATAAAATATTTAAAAAACAAACTAAAAATCAAAAACAGTATCCACGACAATTTTCTGTGGTAACTACGCCGCGCCGGCTGTGGCAATAGACAAGGCCGAATCCATCGTCGCCGCCTTGTATTATATCTCGGATCTGCCGACTGAACAGATTCCCGTGAACTAGTCTTTTAATAGTTACTCTATGTCCGGATCCGATAACATACGGCTGGCACTCCCCACGCCTGCCTAGCATCAATCGCGTTGGCTTATCCATACGTAAACTAGTCTTAAGGTAGGATTTCCTAACTGCGTCGAGACGCATGCGTTTGACGTGTGCGTTTTTAGATGCGTTGAACGCGCGGCGGCAAACGCATCAGGTTGTGTTTTTCTATCAGCGTTTCATATTAAAATTATTAAAATAATGTTCTGGAAAAAAATATTTTAGTTGCTATGCAAATTTGTTGTACCAAATTGTGATATTTTAAAGCGTGTGTAGTTTTGAACATGGAGAATATTGTAAATTTGTTATTGTTACAAGAAGAGGAAGATGAAGAAGCAATGATACTTTTTCATGTAGGAACAATAAAGGAAAAAAGAAACCCCGAAAAAGAATTATTTAAAAAAGGGAAACTGAGGGTTATGCAAATTTACTAATAAGAGGTCATTTTCGGTACGACGAACAAACATTTAGACGATTTTTTCGATTAAGAAAAGTTTGATTTTATTATAAAATATTAATAAAAAAAGAACACATACACATTCCGTATACTTTTCACTATGAAAACGCAAAGCATGTGCGTCTAGACTCCTCTCGAGGGCAGTCATGCGATAACCGCATGCGATTGCCGGACACTGCTGCGTCAGACGCTCACTGTATCAACTATATCGATAATATTAGTGTCTGTACTCTTTAAAAATTTGTTACATGTTTAAAAATAATCTAAAATGTCAATATTCCATGGGTATATTGATAACTGAGGTCTAGATTATAAGAAAATGCATTTTCTACGAAAACTTGAAGAGAGAGGTAAAGAATGGTATAAAACAGTTTGATAGCCAATTAAATTGTGCATTTCTTTCTCATGAAATATACAGGGTGTTCCATTTAAATTAAACAAGTTATTGCCGTTTAAATCTAGTAATTTCTTTTTAGACACTCTCTATAAGGTAGTATAATTTTTATTATTGCAACACAAAATTTAGTAAATAGAAATACTTCAGTACAATATTTGGTTCTAAAAACTTAAATACGCCTAGAGAAATGAGGCATTAAAATTATTACTGTATTTTGACAAAAACCTATATTTCAATAACGGTACGATTAAGATGCGGTAAACCTTAATCAAACACACCTTTATTTTAATCGTAGAAACTAAAAATGTAATAATATACAGGGTGTTCCTAACAACTAACCCAAAACTTACAATTTGCAAAAATCTAATCGTTTAGCTACAATACTCCGTGTCGTATGTGGCGAACAACCCTGTATACATATATTTGAATAATTTTTGATAAGCCGATTTAACTTATTTAAAAAAAAATATATGTATTTTTAAATTAAAACGGAACAGGTGACAATGTAAAACCAGGCAAATGAGAACAAATCTTCTGTTGTCAACCTACGATTTGGTCAATGTCAAATGGTACTTCCCAATCGTCAGGTTTTTACATAATTTGACTACAACCTAACCTAACACTAAACTTAGGTATTGTTTGTACTAAGAGAGGATCCATAAGAGTGACAGTAGTTATGTCTGTCATTTTAATACAGAAGTTTTTTTTTCTAGCATTTTTTTAATTTTTCTCCAGTATTTCTTATATTAATATGCTCATAATAAGTATAATAAAATGCTCTTAAGGTTAAAAATTCAAATTTCATTTTGCAATAAGAAAATCATAGGCTAACAACTGAAGTTAGGTTGCTATTTGCCTCGTTTCGCATTGTTACAGTTTTAATTTATAAAGTGCTTGTCAAAAATTGTCCGAATTTGGCATGTGTATTTTGGTAAATACACATGCCATATGCAAGGGAGCAAATATTAGGAGAGTACAAAATTTGCATGCGAGTTTCCACGTTACAACGATGCACCACTTGATATAATACAGTTTTTTCTATTTCAAATATTAATAGTGCAATTTTTGTGTTTTAAGTTGTTTCAAATAATTTCTTATAGAACAAAATACTACGTCTAAAAACATGCTTTAACGAATTTACTAAAAATAATTAAATTAACTAAAAAGATGGCAAACAAAATATCACTACTTACAATAATTAGCACTATAGATAATAGAGAAACAATTTAAATAAATGGTATAAAATTAGAGTTTAGCAATCAAACATTGACAAGCAAGAACAAAATTTTTAAATATTTCTTGTCTAAAGTTAAACACGCAATTTTTTTAATAAACTTTATTGGAATATTTGTATAGGGTGGAGCCTCTCATTCGCCGCGGAAGCTCCAAGGAGAACGGTAGTTTATATCGATATGAAATTTTGGCAGCGTATGTAGGTTAACTGAAAGCATTTTATAAAAAATATATAGAACTATACAGGGTGTCCCCCAAAAAAAGTTACACATCAAAGTTGTGTTTTTTTTAATGGAAAACCCTATATATTAATTGTTTTTCGGATTCTACGAAAAAATAAGGGTCAGTTTTCTTACAACCTAAAATGTAAGGATTTTGACATATTTCACATTTTGTGAAAATGAAAAGTAAATTTTAAATTTCGATAATAGCTACCTAAATTTTAGTGGACCTTAGTATAGCCTGATATTTAATTACGGTAACCATTGTATGTTAAACCAAATTGAAATTTGACGCGAAATGTTATACAGGGTGAGACAAAATTAATATGGGACATTAGTCACTTTTAAAAGCAAATTACTGCTTTATTTTAAATGGAACATCCAGTATATTTTTCCGGTGTCCAATGGGGAATTTATATATCTTCAAAATATTACTAAGGTTGCCTACCCTTCAGACAAATATTTTCCTAGATATTTTAATTTTTATGATTTTGCGTCTGTAGATCTTTATTATTTGAAAAAATCTAGGGTGGCTGTGTGATATACCTTTTGTTAATTGAACAAAAATTCAAGATTGTAGAGTAAAATACTCAACGGTAATAAAAAGATACACGTTTAAAACATATGTTAATTATTACAGAATTAAAACTAGATATAAGCCTATAATTATATGACAAAAATTAGCTAGATGAAATCAAATGCTCAAAATGCTTCGTTTCCTGTTAAGTGCATAAAATGATTGTCTTATCAAAAGGATATTTTTATTTTAAAAGGCATTTTATGTGGAGTTGTATCTCGAAAAGCAGCTACAATAATTTCTCTCATGTTGTCGACAATAGTTGGTCGAGTTTTGTAAACACTGTCTTCAACATATCCCCATAAAAAACAGACTAGATAAAATCAGGAGAATTTAAGTATTCTATTAATTATATAATAACTAATAGAATCATATCAATTCTCTCTGATCTAGGATAAGTTTGCATTTTCGGCAAATTTCTGAGAAATTGTTTTGTTTTAACTGACACAAAATGATAATTAGTTGTTAATGATGGACTAATTAGACAGCTATGTTGAAGTAACGTCAGACATATCACAGCCACCTAGATTTTATCAAATAATAAAGATCTACTCAGATACAATCATGTAAATAAAAATATCTAGGAAAATCTTTGTTTGAGGGGTAGGCAACCTTAATAATATTTTGAAGGGACATGAATTCTCCATTGAATATCGGAATAATATACTGGGGGTTCCTGTTATGCTTTTAAGGTGACCAATGTTCAATATTAATTTTGTCTCACCCTGTATAACTTTTTGGATCAAGTTTTAACTTCATTTAAAGTACAATAGTTAATTTAACTACATATTAGGCTATACCGGGTAAATTTAGGTAGGTTATTTAAAAATTGTTCTTTATTTCTAGAAAATGTTAAATATGTCAAAAACCTTATATTTTAGTCATATACTTCTGTTATAAAACTCACCTTTATTTTTCTCCCAGAATCCGAAAATCAATTAATATATAGGGTGTTCCATTACAAAAAACACAACTTTGATATGTAACTTTTTTTGGGGACACCCTGTAGAACTCTCTATATTTTTAAAAACTGCTCTGAATTAACCTAGAATTTAGAATAGAATTTAGAATAAGTGGGAGGGGGGTTAATTTCTGCGACCTTAGAGATCTATTGTGTGCCCCTTTCTTGAGTTATAACTCATCATACAGTCCCAGGACTTCCTACGGAGACCCGTGTCCTTCACAGTCGAGAAGCTACGACCCAGGCCGGGTAGACGAAACGGTAGCTTGTGTCGCCTGTTGGGTTTAGAGGTAGGATCCCGACCCTTGGAGGAGGTGGTAGCTTGTATGCCACTTGCGGAGGATGGTCTCACGCAAATGTCAGCCACCTCTCCTGTAATTCTCTTTGGGTTTGGCCCCTTGGAACTTTCATTGTTAACTGTTCTCAGTGTCGCTAAGGGGTTTCCCCACAGCTTCACCGGTGATGTTTTTATTACTATTATTACCAGATTTCATAGTGTTCCCATGAGTCGCTAGGGACAGTCGGTCCACTTCTACAGAGCGCCGCATGTAGAAGTAAGGGGTAAAATACAATGGGGTGCCCCCCGATGCCCCGGCTGTCCGTAGCCCCACCCGGTATCGTTATATGTCTTGGTGCAATTCCCTGGCCACGACGCTACAGTCAGGGAGAAGACGATGAGTGAGATGCTTCTTAGACCAAGCCAAGTGCTAGGGGGGATTCCCCCCAGCACCTGACCAGGAGCTTCCCCACCAACGACAAGGTCTTGCATCTCCAAGGGGAAGATTAACCTATATATGCTCACATTTCATTTCAATACAAACTGTCGTTCTCCTTAGAGCCTCCGCGGCGTATGAGAGGCGCCACCCTGTACAAAATCATTAAAGCGAAATAATAATCAGTAAAAAATAACACATTTTTTTCGAGTCTATGTGATTTCGAGTCTATATTGATTAGTCTATGTGGAAATGTAATATTAAAATTATTGTACTGTTTGTTTTTTTTTTCATTGACAATTAGAAACTTTTTAAAATGCACTAAATATAGGCGACCATATCTGTTTTTAAATATATGTGAGGAGTATTTACTCTACGGGAAAGTATAATACATAAATTAAATACATATATTATTTATAGTTCATATCGAATAAACTTTTAGTCACGTGATTAAGTTTGACCGGCATAGCGTTGCCCACTTTTACATATTTTCTTCTAATCAAAATATTATACAAAAATAAATTAATTATAAATATATAAACACTTATTATTTACATCGACAAAACTCACCTATTTAACAGCACCTAAGGGACATGAAGGGCCATTACTACCGCTTTCCCGTTCAAAATATTCTAATAAAGTAGCAATGAGTTTTTTACGACTATTCAGCTTCTTCTAATCTTGTACACTTCAATGCTTGACTACAAGGTCTGCTAGTAAAAATGTTTAAGCTTAAAGTGTCAGAACACAATTCATTTAAACCGAAAACTCTTAATACAAAACTAAAGTGTCAAAACGAATGACAATATCAGGAAATAGATAAATAAATGTGGCAACTTGACATTTTTTACAGCAGAGCTACCACCTGAATCCACAGCGGAAAACTTAAATTCAAGTTAGTCAGCCCTACGCCGGATATGTCTATGGTTGGAAACAATGAATTTAAAAATCGCGCCCTCGATTACGCAACTAAAAGTTTAATTGGTATCTAATATATGTAGGTGTGCCACCCACACAATGCTGAATTTTAAAATAAAGAGTTTTACCTCTATATTTAGTTATATTTATTAATATCATTAATAATGGCTTGCTTTTTAGTTTTAACCCAAATCAGAGAATATTGGTACGCACTTGTAAAGGATTAGAATTAAGAGAAGCTGGTGCTCATGCTGATTCCGGCATTTTGGATGAAAATTCTGAAGAAACTATGCCAAATGCCAATTCAAGAGAACAACTAGCTCCAAGGTAAATAATGTTTCAATTAATATACGTTTCAAACCATACACATTTTTTTTAATTTAAGATATACCCTCAGATGCAAAAAAAACGCAACGGAGAAATTTTTGCTCAAATTTAAAGCGTTATATTTTTGTTATTTTTAGCCCTATTGTCATGAATTTTTTAGTAAGCTGTATATGAACTTTAATTCGTAAACTAAATTTCTTATAAACGTTAGTATTTGGCTTATTATACAGGGTTAATCGAGGGGTTGTTTTTTTACCTTAAATTTAAAATACCCTGTGCAATAATTTCGCCTGTAAATTTTCCTAAAATATAATCTGTCAGAACTATGACTCCCGAGCATTTTGTTTTTTGATTCATGTCAATCCATGCTTTGATTAATTTTTAAGAGCGAAATGAACTGATCACGATCAATTTGCAATTTTTTCAATTATCATTACTTTTTGATGCAATTTTTTAATATGACGAGATGGTTTTGGTGACTATTGTCGTAACTTCATATTACGATGTGCATTGGGTACTCTATACTAAATTTAAAAAAACAAAAACTCGGTAAAGACCCCGGTAAGACACAGTACATAAATACTATAATTTACATGACTTTTTCATTATATATTTCCTTGTTTCAATATAGATATAAGGGTATAAAAAACTAAAAAAATATATTTTATATATAATAACGAAGTAGATCATCATATACCCGACTTTCTCGTCTGTTCTTTGTATCTATTCAATTCTTTCCCTGGAGACTTTCCATAGCATCACAAACAATATAAAAAATTACGTACATTTATATCGTTTGAATCTTGATTTATGGCTTTGGGTTTATAAAAAAATCGCATGTGATAAGCCACTTTTAGTTTTTCATGAGTTATCGAATTTCGAGGCCAACTTTTTTTTATTTTTTTTAAACCTTATTGATGATATAACAAATATACTGTGTGACATAGAAATTGCAACAGTAAATGCAACTATACTTTATTAATTTTTTGGGAAGTTTATTTAAAATAATTTTTAATTCAACAGTTAGTTGCACCTCCGCGTAAGTTTTGACATTCGATGATCAGATGATCGATATCTTAGTGTAATATGTTCTCCCATCTTTTCCATATATCTAGCCTAAGATGTGGCAACCGACTTAGACTTCTTCCTATCACATCCCAGATATAATTAATAGGCGATAAGTGGGGCAACGGCTACAAGGTATAACTTTAACAACAAATTTAATATAGCTATACCAGGAAGAGAACACTGGAGCAAAGGTGTACCCATTCAAGCTGAGGCAACCTGGTATACAGACGGCTCAAGAACGTCGGAAGGCGTAGGAGCCGGAATATCTATCTAAGGAAGTCACATTTCTCCAGATTAAAAAACGGCAATCCACTATTGCGTAGAAGAAATTATAAGGCAGCTTCTTCACAGACAGCCGAGCAGCGCTAAAGGTACAGGTTATACGGAGGTCAATTCTAGACTAGTGTTGGACTGTGGTACGTGCTTTAAATGCTTTATGTGAACGTAGCATTGTTACGTTGGCTTGAGTACCAGGGCACGAGGATCACAAGGGTAATGAAAAGGCAGATGAAAGGACCAAGCAAAGCTCATCAAGGTCATTCATTGGCCCAGAACCCCTCTGCAGCGTTGCAAAAGCAGTCACGAACGACAGTGACTACGGAACGAGCTAATGGACTATTAACCACGGTGGCTAATAAATCTCTGGGTCTACTAACAGGACATTGCAAGCTGAATAGGCATCTAAAGCTAATGGGATTGACGAACGAAGACATGTGTGGGTTCTGCCAATCTGAAGAAGACATAGACATTTTATGTCTATGCGACAGCCTGGCTGATAGGCCATTGCCAGGGAGCTACTTGGAGTGTCTTCAAGTTGCTAGACTTTGTGAAAAGGATATGACTGGAGAATGTAACCTAAGGATCAGAAGAGGACCACAACAGATCTGAGAAAGTCGCAGTGGATCGGGCCGATAGCCACCTCTAGAAATCTAATCTCTCTATGTCTTAGGTATTAATAGCTGGTCAGAGGAAGTTTCTAGTAACTGTGGCGGTATGTGGTAAACATTCATTGTTTTGCTGGAAAATTGGATGTTGCAGTGGCTGAAGGTAGGAAAATACGACAGGTTGTAACAAATTATTAGTGCAAGATTGAGGGGTCATGTTGTCAAAAAAAACTAGCTGCTTCCAACTGTTATGGCACCTCAAACCATAACGTCTCTAGTAAGCGCAGTCTCACGCTCTATGTTAAAAGTTGGTGCCTTAATTCATGTCTACGGTGCACTTTTCGATGATTAACGTTAATCTACAAACAAAAACAAGACTCGTTATTCGTTACTGAAAACAACCCGATTCCACTCCTGATTCCAGTGAGTTCGTTCAATTCTCACTGTCTATGTCTATAGGTTAATGCTAATACCAATTGCGGAGTGTAGCCCATAAGTCTAATTTTTCGATGAATCCATCTCGTGGCAAATATCCACGATTGATCCGTAGCTGCCGTCTACGCATGTCCAATGTTTGTGCTGAACCCGTCTATAAATACTTGCGATCGCTGGTTATTTTTAAAGCTCCAATGAACCTACGATTTGTTTGACGATTATGTATGCACAGTCCGCTTTGTCCAATATAATTTAATATATAATATCACATCACTGTTGTAGCATTCCAGCCAATTTTGCCGTTTGATCCGGCCTGTTTTGACATTCAACCTAGTTCAAATTTACTTATTTGAAGATTAGTGAAGGACCGTGCTCTTCTATATTTTTAGTAGCACTTTTTTTTTTTTTTTTTTGAGGGGTTGGTAAAAACCCTTTATAGGCGAGTGGTGCTCGTTCTCATCACCATCTCGAGAGAAACGATCATAGAGACGAACCCCAAACAGTGTGGGAGTCGAATTGTTACCCACGAAAAAGTCCACCTCCGAGGAGTCAGCTCCTCCTCTCCCCCTTACCCGGAACCGCCGCATGGCATTACTTCGGGTTCGTACGTGATCTTGGGGTTTATATCTTATCTATGTTATTTTTTATCTATATTCTATTCTATTTATTTTTAGGATTTCTTGCCTTTTCATCTTTTCCTTTCTCTATTATTATTTCTTTCATAAATGCCCCTACCTTTCCACATATTTCGCTAGTTTTGGTCATTTTCATAATCAAGGGGTCCGAAGTTAACATTCCTACATCCGACAATAAGGCAGACCTTCCGTTTTGCCATCTCGCACAACAGAACAACGTGTGCTCGGCATCGTCGATTTCGATGCAGTACATACAGTTGCCATTTGGTATTTTCTTTATTCTGTGCAAGAAGTCCATGAAGACTCCATGCCCGGAAAGAAACTGCGTAATGTAATAATCCACGTCTCCGTGTTTCCTACTTGTCCAGTCCTCCACGTTGTGTATTAACTTTCTAGTCCACCTTCCCTTGTCGGATGTATCCCACTCCTATTGCCATTTTTGATAGGTACCTCGTCGTTGATTCACGAGTTTTTCGTCGAGTTTTTCACCTCATCGTTAATCTCTGCTTTGACATATAACTCTCGCTTTTCCTCAGCTGCTAAATGCAGCGGGCTATAACCCCCAGCTATAACCAACACGGCATCTGTTGATATCGTACGATACGCTGAACAGATCCTTAGAGCCATTTTTCTCTGTGTGGAAAGCAATATATTTTTCGTCCGTTGGAATTTTAGTGCCTCGACCCATACAGGAGTGCCGTATAGAATTATATTTTGCATTGATACCGCAAGAACTTTTTTTTTTTTTTTTGAGGACGGTCCTTTTAGGTTCGGAAGTAGTCCACATATAGCTTTGACAGTTCTGTTGGCTTTTCCGCAAGCATCTTTTACATGTTGACTGTGAGTTAGCCCTCTATCTAGTATTATTCCGAGGTATTTCACTGTATTAGCTGGTTTAACGTACTTCCCACCGACTTTAAATTTTATACCACCTATCTTTGTCTTTCGGTTTAGAAGAATAGCAGTTGTTTTCTCTGGTGCAACTTCCAACTGGTTTTGATTCATCCACAAGTATATATAGTGTAAAGCCTCTTCGGTTTTGCGTATCATTCCTTCGGAGGTTCCAGCTGTGGTTAATACAGCCAGATCATCTGCGTAGCAGATTATTTTTACTCCTTAAGGCACCCTTATTTCCATTACCTCATCGTAAAGGATGTTCCAAAGGGTAGGCCCCAAAATCGATCCCTGGGGTACGCCTCCCCCAACCTCTTCTTGGTGGTCTTTATCCAAGTTTACAGTACGCTGTGTAAAATATGATATTTTATTTTTTTATTTTATTTTTAGTGGCACTGGTAGAATGTAGAATGTTTAGGAGGGGAGTGAATCACCGCGACCTTACCGATTTATTGTGTGTTCCCCTTTCTTGAATTATAACCAGTTTTAACTCATTATACAATCTCAGGGCTTTAACAAAAGCCAGTATCGGAGACGGCTGCACAGAGGTCAGCTCTCCATCCTCGACATCAGCCGTACCGAAGTTCATGGCACGAACTGTCGTCGTCTCGGCGCACTCAGTGGTAAGGTGTTCTGGTGTTACCCATTTTCACCACAGAATCTGCATTCGCCGTTGTTCCTCAGCTTCAGCCTACTGAGGTGTTCGTTGATTAGACAGTGTCCTATTAGAAACTTCGTGACAATCCGAATATTTTTACTTAAATCAAGGAAAACCTTTGATTTTTCTCGGTCGTAAGTTCTGAGGAACTTTTTTGAGTGTCTTAGACCGTTGGAAGACACCCATTCCAAATTACGGATGGAGTCTTCCAGATTCTTCAGTTCCGCTTTCAATTGGTTCCCGTTTGGAAAACAGAACGGTTCTGTCCAGTTAGTGGAGTGTTTGCTCCTTTTCTAGCTAGATCGTTTGCTTTTTCATTGCCTTCTATCCCTTGGTGAGCAGGCACCAGGAGGCTACTTGGACTTTATTTCCTTTGTCTAATTTGTTGAGCTTTTCTGGGCATTCTTTGACCAACTTTGAATTGATGGTTACTGAGTTGAGCGCGTTTAGTGCTGCTCGACTATCGGATAGGATGGCAATTTCCTGTTTTCGATAGTTCCTATCCTAAGATAAATTGCACGCATCTTTCGATAGCGTAGATTTCTGTCTGAAGGATGCTGGGATAGGTGCGCATTGAATTATTTCAATATTAATGGCACTTACTGCCAGATTGCTTTAACAGGATTGTAATTTATTTTTGTACTGAGTAAAAATGATTTTTACATGGAGCAGTTTAGAATTCGAGTAAAATATTTTTTTGGAAATAAATTTGTTTGTCTCGAAACGTTCTATCCTTTTTTGATCTTTCTATAATTAGTGTTAATTTTTCACAAGTTTTGTGTCAATTTTTAGTAAATGACGTCTAGAGATTGACCTCGCTAAATTTATCATCGGTTGTCATCAGCCGTCTTTGACGCCGTTTTTTTTTTCGGTCATACTGGACTAGTAAAAAGGATAAAAAATTACATTTTTATATACTGGATTAAACTAGCATGACAGCTGTACAATGAGAACATGATATAAATTACAACTCAAATATTGTTTAAAAGAGAAAGGGAAAATGTATGTATGGCTACGAACAATCAACTTCATAAAAGGTTGTTCTGAATAGAATCTTTTAGATGTATGTTTCAAAAGGTTGCGAACAAAAAACACCGCACAAAGGACATCAAACAATAATGGAAAGTTGCCAACAAATCCCGAGAGAACTCCAACAGAGTTAAGAAGATCGTCGATAGAAACATCAAGTAGTGGTATCTTCAGAAATATTTTACGTCGTACATAAAATGTCTTAAAAAGTTCAAATAAGTTATTTTTAAAATGAATTTTTGTGAAATTGAACAATTAAATTTAGGTAGTTTTCCACAATGGCATTTAAAAATATATCTGTGTATTAGGGTCTCCGTTATTTCCCAAGTTGATTTTTTTTGCTGCTGACCTCTGAAATTTTAGTTTTGGCTTTAAAAAAATTATTCAACGTAAGCAAGCTCTTAATTTTTAATTTAAACCGTGCCGGAATCATGATACTTTTCCCATTTAAATAACATGGGATTTTCTGACCTTTTGCATTTAATTTTTTATCTCCAAAGCTAATGAACCTACAGCTTGGACAAAGACATATCCTAATACAAAATTTTAGTCTACAAAAAAGGTCTCTTTGTTTTTTTTCCATAAAAATATTCCTTTAAAAGTTATTCGCGGTCAAAGTTATGTACATATTTTATAATAAAATATTTCTATCATTCACTGCAAATTCTAATTGCGCCTTTTGATTTTGAGTGACAAAGAATCTAGAGCCATACATTTTTCAATAAAACAATATTTCTTTACCAAATTTAATATGGAAAACTAACATTGAAACATGAAACAGGAAGTGACCGAAAACAATTGAATACGTAAATGAACCCTAGAGATGAAACGGGTATCATGAATGTACTAACATACCAAATCTCGTTTTTTATCTAAAAAATAACAAAGTTATAGGGGTGAGCCACTTTTGAGCCACACCCGGTATTTAAATTCTCTATAAAGTTTTATGAATTTTGATATCAAACACACACAACACACTATCTCTATCTAAAATAAGCTATTTTAGAGACATATGTACAGGGTGGGTCAAATTCGACGCTTTTAAATGGAAACATCCTTTTCTATAGGAGATAGACAAAAACTAATATCGGTGTCTGGAGCTCAATTTTTGTCAAAAACATAATGGTGAAAACCGCATATCGGTATCTGTTACCGTTTCGGAGTTACGGGGTATTTTTCAAAAATATGCATTTTTAACAAATCGCTGTAACTTTTTTGCTATGGAAAATTTTGTATTTTTATGAAAACATTTCCAAAGCACCTTTTTACGTAGAATTTAATGGTTTAAGTATAATTTTTTTAAAATTAATAATTTAAGAATTATCATCAGAAAATTTGATTTTTTATATGGGATACCCTGTATATTTTTAATTTATTGAAAAGAATTTAAAATTACCTTTCCAAAAATATAACACACTTGATATTTTGCTCGATTCCTCTTCGAGATATAGAGTATATAAAAATTCACCCGCATTAAATAAGTAGGCTTTGAACGGCACCGGCTGTAATGCAAAAAAAATCTAGCTGTGAGCATCAATTAAAACGAAAATAATATTTGCTATAAGAGATGCAGAATTTTATAACAATTTAAAATATATTTAACCAACATCAACACATTTAAATTATATCTAATAAAAACAAAAATAAATAGCAAACCAAGACATGAGATTTTGCTACAGGTGTTCGACATATCGACCGTCTTCTGTTATGGACAGACAGACGGGGCAGTTTTTGAACATTTCTCGCGGAATTCATTAACTCAGTAGGGGTGAAAGATATCCTCTCATAACTGCTAAGTATTTTTAATTCTTGTCTAGATTATACGGAAGAATAAGGAACCTTTATTCTTCCGCAAATATATCCATAGTAATAGATCCATGGGCACTAAGTGAGGCGGCCTCGACGGCCAACGGCTGGGATCTTGGTTAGCTATCCAATTATTCTTGAAATTTGGTGCAAAAATTTGCTGATAACTTCAGCGTTCAGAGGCGGTGTATCGTCTTGCTGGAAAAATATGTTTTCGTGTTCCATTAAGGGCATATCATCAATAAGGGGTCCAAAGCCTACTAGTTAAAAGTGACGAACTTTTAAAAATTCTGTATTTCGAAGGGTAGTATAACAAAATATCAAGTGTGGTATATTTTTGGACCGAACTCCGAAACGGTAACAGATATTGATGTGCGGTTTTCACCATCATGTTTTTGATGAAAATTGAGCTCCAGACACCGATATTAGTTTTCGTCTATCTCCTATAGAAAAGGGTGTTTCCATTTAAAAGCGTCTAATTTGACCCACCCTGTACATATAAATAATATGTTTTTTCATCAATATTTTTTTTATTGAAATATTTAGGGAACTAGAAGTTGGAGAGCTCTCAAGCTGTCAAGTTCACGGGTCGGCTACGGAGTTTTCAGTATATGATGAATACGGTTCATTCAATGACCAATTGGCTACAGACTTATTAATGTGGCACCATTGCCCGGAAGTTCATAAGGCTATAGACGGCATAAGATTCATAGCTGATCATACTCGAAAAGAGCAAGACTCTACTAAAGTAAGTAAAACAAAGATAACATTTAGATGTGTACGTAGAGAGTATTTAAGTTTAGCACTGCTTTTTAATAGTTAGCAGTTAGTTTTCAAGAAACTCAACTTTTTTTGACTAAACTCAAATTTTTTAACTTTTTTTTTTTTTTTTTTTTTTAAACTTAAATTCCTGTGTTTGAAAAAAAAAGTTGGGTATTTTGCCACTGAAATACAGATCTAAAAAAAATTGTTTCTAAAATGCGAGTGTGTTAGGAACCAAAAGGCATCTCAGTTGATTTTTACTTGTAGATTGTTAAACACATGTACCCCTACAGAAACTTACTCCCATAATACCCCCTGCAATTTTAAATATTTTGTTGGGTATAGGCAAATTTATTTACAAGTAAAAAAGTAAAGCAGTATGTCCACAGCACATACCATATCACAGTGCCTATGCTAGATGCAACAGTCAGTCTAATATAATTTTTAATTTTCTATTATGTCACACAGATTTATATCTGTGGTGCTATTAAAAATATTTTGAAAACCTTTAAAGCGCACAGCTGTTTTGACCAAAAAAATATTTAATGATTAAAAAGATTAACAAAAAAAACTAATATTTTATACATTCTACGAATTTCACTGAATTTAAAGTGAAATTTGAAGGGTCCAGGGGAAAAACATGATAAGCGCCATTTTACTAATTTTACAGGGGAGCACTAGACGGCTGGTGGTTATGAAGTTCTTTCCGTGTATTCTAAATTTTTACTAGGCATATATCATAGGATTTAACAACTTATTACTCTGCAGAGTTTATATATTTTGTAGGGACCAGTTAGACCTACATTAATTACAGTTAAACCTACATGTCAATTAAATATTATTGTAAAATACTAAAACAGCGTCTATGCGAGAAACAGTCACTATGCGAGAAACTCTTCGAAACATGGCAAGGTCCCATTTCGTCGCCCACTTTGACGCATTTAGATTTATTTCCAGTTATCTTGACCCACTTTGGTTTGTCTCGACCAACTTTCGATTCTTAAAAGCGCCTCAAAACCACTCGTGAGGTGCCTTGATCAATTTTGTTTTGTTTTGGGCTAGTTCCAAAACGTGACGGTATCTGTATCCGAGGCAAAGGATTTTTTTTATATCTCAGGAAAATAAGTAAACCTAGACGTTTCTAAAATAGCTGCTGTTACGATGATATTTCGTTAATTACCTCTCGTTCTCGTTTTATGTTATATTGATATACAGACCGGACCACCGTAATAGTAACATAGGCAGAACCGGACGAATTAGCGTATACCCGTCCGCCGGATAAAAAGCAGGCGAAAAAATGCGATAAAATAAAAATAGGTAGATATGTGATAAGAATGTTTCAGAATTCGTATTTATTTGTGTTTTAATAGCCAAAACAAATACATAGATTCTCGCGACAGTTCTCGTGTAAAATTTATTTTTTAAGTAAAATAATGGATGTTACGAAGTTCGTGAGAAACTTCAAATTGTAAAATGGTATTTCCAAAATAGGTCTGATCGGGATATACAAACAATTTTTCCACAAACTTTTGTAGACAGGCCAATTCCATTTTTACCTACTGTATCAAGAGTTATTAATAATTTTGAAACACATGGGTACATGTTCCCACAAAAACAAAAAAAGCCTGATGTGTTGATTAATGAAGAACAGGAGTTAAAGCAAGTGTTCATTTGTGCTACCGCGGATGAAAATCCCACGTTTTCAAGTAATCAAATTGCTGAGGTGGTTGTCCTGCCCACAATGCCCGTATTGTTCACGAATATTTGAACAATACTTTTCCCAACCGTTTAATTAGTGAACATGGAACTATTTTGTGGCCCGCTAGATCACCAGATCTTTCTCCCAATGTCTTATTTTTGTGGGGTTATGTAAAATCCATAGTGTATGGTCATAATAGTGCTAATAATCTGGATGAGCTTCAAGTAAGAATACGAGAGGCTTTCCAAACTATTAGCCCTAATATGTTAGCCAATGTCAGACGGGGATTTTATGACCGCCTGGGCTTCTGTCTAGCACAAGAAGATGGTCTTTTGAACACTTGTTATAACTTTTTTTTTTATTTAGAGTAATATTTTAGTTTTTTTTTTTTGGGTTTAGAGAATTTATTTATTTTTAGTTTTGGCTTGTAAACACACTCAAATAATAAATATTTAAGTATTTTCATTTTTACTGTTACCTTAAGTGAAGGTAAACACTTAAAATGAAAATAATAAATACTCGGCACTCCTCGAGTCGTATTCCTAGTCTGTCATGACCGACCCGTCCAAGCACAACTTCAACTGACCAGCCGACTAGCCCGCAGTGACTCTCTAGTACGAACACAAAACGGGTAAACGTAAATTCGTCCGACAACTTGCTATGTTACTAGTAGCCTGGTCTTCTCTGTATGTTCCACAGAATAATATAATGACTAATATTTGAACACGTGTTTATTATAGAAGATATTTAGGAAAAAGAGGTATAGCATATTTTAGGAACAAAACTTTTCACTTAAACTGCAGGAATATAATTACAATATTTTTATGATTTCATTTTTTTATAATGAATTAGTATTTATACAATTGTGTATGATATGTTTGTTTGCAGCCTTAATTGATTAATATAACAGTATTATTGCTTGATGTGTAATACTGGTAACATTATCAATATATCCGCTTAGGAAAATTATTAATTGACCCGATGTCAGGAAAAGTATGGTCCACGGACATTATTTAAAAGCAATGTTTTTTTTATTGTTCTTAAGAGAAATCTGCAAACAATACACCCAGAAATGCACCCAGAATAACTTGATAATTTGATATAAATCCATTCAACTAGTATTTATTATGCAGGGATTTACACAATTAAAACTAGAAAAATATTACGAAATTCGTAAACTAAACTGCTACAGACTACAGTAATGTTACTTTACCATAACCAGAAATAACCATAATTAGAAGATTTTTTTAAATAATGTTGTATACCGTGGATTATAAGCCGATAAATGGTAGACCGCTAGTTAGTCCCTGTTTTATATTAATTACAGGTTAGCGCGTAGGCTTATTGTATCGAATTTCCCTTCACAGTATCCATACTATCTAAAATCGTTAAGTCAGGAAATTCAAAGTGTCTTGTTTTTCAAGTTAATATTTTTTATAGAAAATATGCGATAATTGTTGTAGAGTAGTTTATTTTTAAATTATTTTTTACTCAGAAAACCGATTTTGATTGCGCCGGCTCTCACATTATTTTTCTGTTTAACTTGGTTAATACGATATAACTATCTTAATCAATAGTCAGGAACTATAGAACGAACTATTTTTCTGGAATATATTTTCACTATCAGAACTGTTAATAAAAAAAGGTGCTATACGTGAAGTTGGACCCACCAGTCATATCTCCAGAAATTAACCAGAACTTTTCCGAGAACTTGTCGGAAATGGAGAACTCTACTCTGTAAAACCGTCTCGTATACTGGCTTTTGTCAGGAGGGACTTTATGATGAGTTATAACTCAAAAAAGGGGTACAGAATAGATCTATAAGGTTGCGGTGTTTAACTTTCCCCTTCCGTACAATCTACAAATCTACAATCTTGGTTACAAAAACAAATATGTTAACTTAAATATTTTTTTTACTTTAGATTTACCGCAGAAATGTTTCAATCTAATCGTTGGCGTTCAGATTAGAATTATTAGTTTAATTACATTAAATGAATGCTATATTTCCTTATTTTTTAGGTAAAAGAAGATTGGAAATACGTCGCCATGGTTCTGGATCGACTTTTCCTCTGGATCTTCACGCTGGCAGTATTCGTCGGCACGGCGGGCATAATTTTGCAGGCGCCCACCCTGTACGATGACCGTAAGCCCATCGACGTTCGCATATCCGAAATCGCCACGACGGCAAAACCATTCATTTCCACTACTATCTAAGACAATTTCCAGATAACTTTAGGATGAATAGTTCTTCTAGGACAGGTCCTCGGCTGTAAATCGTTTATTATACAAAAAAAATAAAAACGTTTTGTCTCGGTTTTGTTTCATTTATTACGTAGAATTTGTTTCCAATTACCCTTGAAAAAATTGAACATTGATTATTTTGACCTGAGCGGATATTATTATAATAATTATAATATGCATTAGACAATAAAGAATTTCCAAAAAATTGGTAGTATTAATTATTCTTTCATTATATGATATGCATAATTTTACATACCACGATTGCAATTTTATTATTTTTAAAGTACTAAAAATGTTGTTTCTGATTTTTATTGCCTAAGGAAGTTTAGGAATAAATAATATTTGTGCTTATTTTCTGCATCCAAATATCTTAAAGGCAAACTTTACCCTCGAAGTTAATATTAGTAAATTTATAGTTACTTTTTAGTATAGACATGTTTTTTAATTATATTAATAAGCTTAATTTTTAGAATTATTTACGTATTACTACATATTAATTACGGTAATCGCAAAACATTTTCCTATGCATGGCATCAATCATATTAAAATTGACACTAAAGACTATAAACTTCACTAAATGAAATTTTGGCAAAAATATTTAAATTTGTATAATTTATGATACCGAGCAGCTCTTCATTTTTCTGTATAGAGCAAATGATTGTAACAGATATTTAGATTAAAGCTGAAAAATTAGTTTAAACCACCGAACCATCCGAAATCTCCACGACGCGACGGCAAAACCATTCATTTCCGCTACTATCTAAGACAATTTCCAAATAACTTTAGGGTGAATAGTTCTTCTAGGACAGGTCCTCGGCTGTAAATCGTTTATTATACCAAAAAAATAAAAACGTTTTGTCTCGGTATTGTTTCATTTGTTTGGTAGAATTTCTTTCCGGTAATTCTTGAAAACATTACAGTTGAGGGTTGGAACCTTTGGTGTTACACAGCAAAATAAAAACACTAAATCACCATAATACACCAAAACACTTTTACTTTTACACTGGACGGGCGTTTCGCTAACCATGTTAGCATCATCAGCATTATAAACTCAGTTTATAATCATCAGTGTTTTGGTGTATTGTGGTGATTTAGTGTTTATATTTTGCCTTGAAAACATTTTTTGACCTGAATGTTATGGATATTATTATTATAACATGGCATTAGACAATAAAATTTTAGAAAAATTAGTAGTATTAATTATTGTATTACTATCTGAAATAGTGCATAATATTTCTTTTAAGGAAATTAATATCCCATCAAAAAGACGAAATGTAAAAAAAATGCTAAGTCTTGAAACGCAATTCTCCCACTAAAAAAGTCGTGAGGTCGCATGTAATTAATTAATTGTGTAATAATATAATTATTGTTAGAATCAGTATTCTTTATTCCTGTAAATATTATAATGACTTGGTAGTTGCACGGTATGATATTTTATTAATAAAATACTTTACTCTAAAGTGCACTATTTAGATTTACTTAGTAATGGAAATGGTAGATTATTCGTTTATTATTATGGTATCGTTCAATTGCCAAGTCGTTATTATGGCTACAGAAATAAAGATGAGTAATATTGATACTAATAATTTATAACAAAATTGTTGAATATGTGCTTCCATAGAAACTAAATAAAATCTTAGAAAGAGAAGTCAGTTTAGTGCGACTGCCTGGCAAATATGCAGCTCTCGGTAATAGACCATGATAGGCTATTGCCAGGGAGCTACATGGAGGGTTCAGTCTTCAAGTTGCTGGACTTTGTGAAAAGGATAGGACTGGAGACTATGTAACCTAAGGATCTGAAGAAAACCAAAATAGATCTGAGAAGGTGGCGGTGGATCAGGCCGATAACCACCTCTAGGAATCTAATCAAGAAAGAGAAGAAAAGATCTTGTAGAATGTAGAATGTCTAGGAGGGAAGTTAATCACCGCAACCTTATAGATCTATTGTGTGTTCCCCTTTCTTGAGTTATAACGAGTTATAACTCATCATACAGTCTCAGGGTACAAAAACCAGTATCTGAGACGGCACTACAGAGGCCAGCTCTCCATCCTCGACATCAGACGTACCAAGGTTCATGGCACGAATGGTCGTCGTCTCGGCGCACTCAGTGATGAGGTGTTCTGGTGTTTCCCCATTTTCCCCACAAAATTGTTTCTCAGTTTCAGCCTATTGAGATGTTCGTTGAGGAGACAGTGTCCTGTTAGAGACCCCGTGACAATCCGAAGATTGTTTTTACTTAAATCAAGGAAAACCTTTGATTTTCCTCGGTCATAAGTTCTGAGGAACTTTTTCGAGTGTCTTAGACCGTTGGAGGACACCCATTCTAAGTTACGGATGAAGTCTTCCAGATTCTTCAGTTCCGCTTTCAGTTGGTTCCCGTTTGGAAAACAGAACGGTTCTGGTCGTTAGTAGAGTGTTCGCTCCTTTTCTAGCTAGATTATTTGCTTTTTCATTGCCTTCTATCCCTTGGTGAGCAGGCACCCAGAGTAGGAGGACTTTATTTTCTTTGCCTAATTTGCTAAGCTTCTCTAGGCATTCTTTGACCGACTTCGAATTGATGGTTACTGAGTTGATCGCGTTAAGTGCTGTTTGACTATCAGATAGGATGGCAATTTCCTGTTTTCGATAGTTCCTATCTAAGATAAATTGTACGCATCTTTCGATAGCGCAAATTTCTGCCTGAAGGATAGTGGGGTAAGTGCCCATTGGTTCAGAGTATTTAGTTTTCGGCCCAAATACTCCTATCCCTATCCCTGCTTTGGTTTTGGAAGCATCTGTATACTACGTGATGGTATGGTCTTTTATATGCTGAGTAAGCGTTTCTTTCTTCTAATCCTTTTTATTACTCAATACTACAGTGAGGTGTTTCTCAAAGTTGTAAATTCTTGGTATGTCATCCACTGGGAGTTGGAGAAGTGGAATTTTCTTTTTAAGGGTGTTCCAAGCCCCTGACCTGAAAATTGTCGCATTGGCATAACTACCGACGACAATATGCAGTGGTGTTAGGTCTAGAATGACCTCCATTGCTGCTGTTGGACATGTTCTCATGGCACCTGTGATGCAGATACATGCCAGTCTCTGTACTTTGCACAGGTTTTGCCTTGCTGTACGTTGCTCTAGTTTTGTATACCAAGCAACTGCTCCATAAGTAATCATGGGTCTTAGTATCATGGTATACATCCAGCGCAAAATGTTAGGGGCGCAGCTCCACCTATTTCCCGCCAGTGTTCTGCATATCATGAGAGCCTTTGTGGCTTTGCTGGTAATGTTCTTAATATGCCTGTTCCAGAGAAGTTTACTATCCAGGGTTATTCCCAGATATTTCACTTCCTGTGATGGCAGTATTACCTTTTCATCTAGATGGATTCTTTTCAAGTTTTTCAAACTTCGCTTTCTGGTGAATGGCACTACTGCGGTTTTATCTGAGTTAATACTCAGCCCGAGAGTCCTGCACCATCTCTCAGCGATGCGGAGTCCTCTTTGGATAATATCACACAGGGTGCCTTCATGTTTCCCCCGTGCAATAATGACTATGTCACCTGCATACCCTATGCAGTGTATTCCAGCTAGAGTTAATTCTTCCAGTAGTTCATCCACTACCAAGCTCCACAATAGGGGGGAGGTCATTCCACCTTGTGGAGTTCCTTGCGTTGTTGTAATAACTACAGTTTTGGTACCTATCTCAGCCTCTGCTGTTCGTGTTGAGAGCATTTCCCAAAACCAGCGAATTATCGTACTGTTCACTCCTCTTGTTTCAAGAGATCGTTTGACCACCTTGTGAGTTATATTGTCAAACGCCCCTGCAATGTCCAAGAAGGCACAAAGTGCAGTTTCTTTGCTATCCAGGCTTGCCTGTATTATCTCAGTTAATTGGTACAGAGCAGTTTCTGTGGATCTGCCCGCTCTATATGCATGCTGACTATCGTGCAGTGGTTTAACCTGTAGATGATTTACTCTAATATGGTTGTCCACTACTTTCTCCATCGTTTTTAATATAAACGATGTGAGACTAATAGGCCTAAATGATTTGGGGTTAGCCCAGTCAGTTTTGCCTATTTTGGGTATGAAGATGACTTTCGCTCTTCTCCAGATGGTTGGTATATATCCCATCGCTAAGCTGCTTCTCGTAATGTTTAATAGATGGAGTGTAGCTATTTCCTGACCCTTCTTTAGAAGGGCAGGAAAAATCCCATCTATTCCTGCTGTTTTATAAGGCTGAAAGGTGTCAATAGCCCATTTCAGTTTCTGTTCTGTTAGTACTAGCTTGGCAGTCTCCCAGTCTTCCCTGCGAGGATTGTGGGGTTCGGTCGGAGCTACTTGCGTTTCAATAGATATGCTACCTGGAAAGTGTGTATGAAGTATGAGGTTAGCTCCCTCTTCATCTCCTTCCGTGTAGCTTCCGTCAGGTTTCTTAAGTGCCATGTTGGGGATGGGCCCACTCTTGGCCATAGCTTTGTGTAGTCTAGCTGCATAAGTAATTGAAGTGATGTTTTCGCAAAAGTATCTGAAGTCAGACCGCTTTGCCCTTCTAATCTCCTTATTATACTCAGAAAATTTCTCGGCGTAGAGCTGCCATTCGCCGCTGGGTTTGGCTCTGTTGAAGAGTCGTCGGACCTCCGATTGGCCAGCTTGATTGGCCAGCTTTTTGTTCCACCAGGGCTTGTTGCTACTTTTTTGTATGCCCTTACTTGTGGGGCAACTAGATTCATATGCATCCAATATTGCACTATTGACTTCCTTTGCGTACCATTCTAGATACAGGTGGTTCCTAGCCCTACCTGCATCTATTTGGTCCAGGTTGTCTACGAGATTGGTGTGGTATAGTTCCCAATCGGTTTTTCTTGGATTCCTTCGAATTTCAGTTTGGAGTATGATTCCTCTTAATTTGAACTCGATGATTCTGTGATCTGATAGGGAAGGTTCCGTGGAGACCCTCCAATCTTTCACGTAACTAGTTACACTAGCACTCCCGATTGTTAAATTTAATACTTCCGCCCGCGTTTTTGTCACAAACGTGGGGGTGTTCCCTATATTGAGAACTTCAAGATTGTATGCTAAGAGGAATTCTAGTAAGAAGAAAAGATCTGAAGTGGGAGAACTGCATTGTAGATAATTTCCAGACTTGATATAATCACAACTATAAATGCCGACTTGAAAACTCATGTTAAATATTATTAAGTATCACAGTTTCCGCAGAATGGCGTCGTTAAATGAAACTAAACACATATAAATTAATTAAATCGAATGGTTTAAGTGATATTTTCAAAAATCAATAACACGGAAATGGTTGGTTTGAGGTACATTGTGTGTATCTGGGTTTTAGCTTAGAATTGAAGGAAGAATTGAAATAATATACAGGGGGCTGCATTTAAAAAAAGTAACTTTTGATGTGCTACGTCTTTATGATTGACCCAGTATACTCAAATTTATTACTTGCTAATAGACATTTAAAAATCCTATAACTTTTATATTAAACTTTTTACGGTACCTCCTATATTTTACCTAATAATCGACCAATCTCATACATATTAGCGACCCGGTATAATTAGACAATATCAAATTGATTAATTCTAGTTTTCTAAATTTTTGTCGACTGGAAAGTCGGCTACCGTTAGCGGCTAATAAGATAGTACCTAAGTTAAAGCTATCTAAAATTCAAAATTTGAAGTATGCGAAACACCTAGTAGTACTTTAAAATTTGGTAACGGTGAGAGAGTCATTCATCATTGCTGTCGAATAATGAAGTTTGACTAGCGATAATTCATAAACTTTGAATTACTGTTGTTAAATTCATTTAAAATAAAGTAAGACAATATCAAATCTATTAATTATTTTTTTTTAACTTTTTATTGGCTGGAAAGTCAGTCACCATTAGCGGCTAGGCAGCTAACTTTTGATGCACAAGTTTATTACGAGACTTTTAATTTTTTTTTCGTTTTAAGCTTAAAGCTATATAAAAAATGAAGTTTGAGAAACTTCTCAATACCTCTGGATTTACTGCTGAAATTAAAGAAGTTTGACAAGCGATAATTCATAAACTATGAGGCATAATTACTAGATATACTGGCAATCCAGCCAGCTATAGTATATCCTCTTGGTTACTAAAAATTAATATTCTTGCTGTATCCCCAACAATGTTACAGGGGGGTCAAAAGTGCCGTAAGTTGCTTCGAGAAAAGGATGGATTTTGAGAAAAGGATAATTTTGAAATAAATAATTAGCAACACGATTGGATTCGCTTTATTAAAAATTTATTGCATATCCATAATCGTTAATCGGTAACCCATTTATTTTGTCTACTATCTAAGACAATTTCCAGATAACTTTAGGATGAATAGTTCTCCTAGGACAGGTCCTCGGCTCTAAATCGTTTATTATACAAAAAAATAAAAAACGTTTTGTCTCGATTTTGTTTCATTTATTACTTAGAATTTGTTACCAATTACCCTTGAAAAAATTGAACAGTAAATATTTTGACTTGAACTTGACGGATACTATTATTATAATAATTATAATATGCATTAGACAATAAAGAATTTCCAAAATATTAATGGTATTAATTATTCATTATGATTGACATATTATTATTTTAAAGTACTAAATATGTTGTTTCTGATTTTATTGCTTAAGGAAGTTTAGGAATAAGTAATATTTGTGCTTATTTTTTATATCCAAATATCTTAAAGGCAAACTTTACCCTCGAAGTTAATATTAGAAAATTTATAGCTACTTTTTATTTCAGAGATGTTATTTTTAATTATATGATGCTTTTGAAAAATAACCGCTAAAAGCTTTATTTTTATAATTATTAATAAGATATTTTTATTCTTACACATTATCTGATATTATGCATAATTTTATAGATCATGATTGAAATTTTATTATTTTAAAGTACTAAAAATTTTGTTTCTGATTTTTATTACCTAAGGAAGTTTAGGAATAAGTAATATTTATGCTTATTTTCTAAAGGGAAATTAAAACAACTTTTGTTGCACGTCATCAATGACACCATGCGTCGTCTTATGGAGTTTGCTGGTGGTCTTATTATGATGGGCAACCAAAGTTATTTAAACTTCCTCATATATCCTAATGTCAATCATTCTTTTGTATAATATCGTGTTGTTATTGAGTCTTTGTGAGTAATTCTCGTTTTTTGCTTATTTTCATAGTCTTTTTTTAATTCTTTTAACACACAGCTTGGAACTAAATTTTTGAGTTTTTATATTGCGTTTCTTGAAATTGCATGTTGAAAATTTGCCGAAGCATTATATATATCGTCGAAGCAAAGAGCTCGTAGCTTCCCTGATAAACTATTTTAAACGAAAACGTGACAAAGGTTCATTATTATTCTTGACTGCAGTCAGAAAAATAAGGTGGTAAGTGGTAAGCACATTATACCACTTCCAAAATTATTTCTATGTTAGTTTTGAATAAATTCTGTGATAATTAGATTGTGCATTAATGGCACCCTCTTACTTGTTATTCGCACTTGTGGTGTTGTAAGATATACATCAATAAATAAATAAATATCCCCATAATAATGCTTAGAATAATCTTCATAATGGACTAGTTTTTGCCAATATGTAATAAGTAAAATAAGTTATAAAACAAATAAATCAAATAATTACTAAAATATTACTTATTAAACTAAAAATAAAACGTAAAAATATTTGAAAATTGATATCATAAATATATTGTTTCCGAATTTTACATTAAGATTCATCTCATAAATCCATCACAATCTGGCAGCGTTGACGCTTGTCACCCAAAGTTGATCACGTGCATTGGAAATTGTTTTACGATTACCGTACGTATTATAGTACATATTAAAATTAAAAAAAATAAAATTCATTACACTACCGGCTATTGGCGTACAGCAAAGTACTATTTAATAATTACCGATTTAAAAATTTATAAATATATAATATTTTGAAAAAAAACTTAATATTTAAAAACTATTTTCCTCCTATAAGTCTATCTTTCATAGATAGTAAATATCATAAACTAACACTTGAGAAACTAAATTTTTTATCGTTTTTTTTCTGAAATAAAAAGGATTGAAGTTGGTGTCATGGTTGGCCTTAGCAGACTAATTACTACTATACAGTTCCCCATAATTCGTCTTGCAGTTGCAAAATATTACTTCTAAGATAAATCCCTATATATAAACTCTGTTGTGGATTAAGGAAATCAGTTACTTTCAATAAGATAAAAAAGCAATAGCCAACCAAGCTTAACCATCTGTAAAATATATTATCTTCTATGGTTATTGTCCATATTTTGAAAACAGAAAAGCAATTAGGAATTTATATGACAACGCGCTGCGTTAATTTGATAAAGGCGGCTTTTATATTTTAATTTTTTGCGCTAGTTCTGATTAAGAAACAAAGATAAATGCCGGTAAACCGATATTTCCATGTTTTAAATTATTGATTACCCACAAATTTGTATTTCACGGGCAGATACTTTAAATTTTATTGTTTGTATCTAAATTTATTTCATAAAATGTTCAAAATTTACGGAAGCTTCATTGGCAAGGAAGTGTCCTGCTTTATTGATAGTAATAATTGCTAATTCATCATAAAATTTTTAGAGCGCGTTAATTCTGCTTGGCCGAGTTTGTTAGAAGTTCATGAAGTGGCGAATTTGCCGTTAATAGAGGAGACTTGTGGCTTAGTTTTGCATGAATAGGATTAAAACGATGATGAAAGAAAATGTAAATCAGATTTTTAAGACAATAATTAATAATTAAATAGGCTTAAAATTTGTTTCTTATAACCTATTATTTTGGTTTACTCGACAAGAGCAAGGTATATTTATTTGTAAAATAATTTTAAGATAGAATGTATGGGATCCATTACGCCCCTTTTTCTTATGTTATAAATAACTCATCATACAGTCGCAGGGCTTTGGCAAAAGCCAGTATCTGAGACCATTTTACAGAAATTAATGTTTTACATTACTTCCTGCTTTTTGCTACACTCCACTGAGACGCGATTCTCACTATAAAGTCCCGTCACCGTCACGTCGGGCCGCCGCGCCGCACAGTGGTGTGAAACTGATAATATAACGAAAAAACCCTATATTTCCTAAACCGTTAATCCAATCGCATTGGGGCGGATTTTATTCGATTCAGCTTAATAAAATACATCAAATAACATGGTTTAATAAATTTATTTAAAAGTAAACTGAGCACCAATTGAAACGTAAAGTGAAAATTTTTGCATCAAGTTGAACTTCTTGTATTTTCTGAATTATTGAAGGCGTTTTGAATTGCTAGCCCGATTCTGAAACGCTTTTTTATCGACTATCGAACCGTTCCTTGCAGTTTATTTATTTATTGGCCAATACCCATAATACAGGGTAAAACAAAAATGCGTGCATTTTTGACAAAATTTTAAGTGACCTCCATTTTGTGGGGGGATGGAGGATTTCCATTATTTGTGGGTATTTTAAAAGAGCTGTTTTATACCTCGGGACGTTTTTGAGTTTTTTTGGGGTATCGCTTTCCATTGCGATGTTTTCCTTTTTTATAATTTTCGGTAAGGTTTTAATTCTAATAAATTTATGTCATTATGAAATTAATATATTGTATTTTTGAGTATTATGCATATTAACTAATGATTATACTAAGTGATTATACTGTATCGTTAATGAAAAAGTGTTACATGCTTCTTTTGTTATGCCAAGATTATTTAATCAAAGATGATATTTTTAGCCTTGTAATGATTTTTTTGGTTTAAGGGTGAAATTGCCTCAACACATAGACATATCTAGTACTTTATTTCCTAAATTGTTGTACGATAAATATATTTAAAAAACAAGTAATACCTTTGCACCATATTTGAAAATGTATTTTTCTACGCGAATGTGCGACATACGCATAGTACATGCTGAAGCAAATGATTTTCTATGTAACAAATACGGTACAAAATTTTTTTTAACTTTTGATATTTTTTATCTCTTTGCAAAGATCATAGTCTGTAGTAAACTACATTTGATATTGTTCAGTTTCATGTTTGCTCTTAGATGATTGAATAGTATTGATATAAATTGGCGACCTCTTTTCAAAAAAAGGCGATCTCCTACTTTTCCACTCATTTTAAAAAAGTGAAAAAATTACCAGAAAATGTGTTTTCATAACAGTAATGCTTCCATAAAATTTCATTAGTCTATCTCTTTTCGTTTTCAAGATAAAAAATAAAAACATCATTTTTCCGGCATCTTTGTACCGCGATATCTCCGTAATGGTTGACTTTTGACCCAACGTTTAGGAAGCAAACTACCCTTTATTTTGAACAAGGAATCAGCCCCTGAAATTTTTCGCATTTGATTTGAAACACCCTGTATATCCTTGATGATTATTATAACGGTGTGTGTTATATGTACCTGTTTCTTCATATGATATGGAATAAATAGAAAAATGATTTGATACTATTGATTCTTTAACGCTGATATCTAAATAAATATATCTTTTTAATTAACTTCTCTTTGACCAATCCAATAGATTTTTTTTATTTAAAGGGTTCTTTTGGTCAATATTAATTTTTTTTCTGGGTTTAGGAAGTGTTTATTACATAACTAACGTTTCGGTTCAGTTTTAACCTTTTTCAAAGTCTGCAATAAGATTTCAATAAAATACAACTGTGCAAAAAAACATAAATCAAACCACCCAAAAAAACCAAAAAAAATCTGTTATTATAGATTTTGCTGATAGTGCATTAATATTATCTGGCCAGGAATACAGAGAAGATGCAATAAAAAAAACAAAAGATGCAGTAGTTTTAAATAATTACCCCACTCAACTCATAAATAAAATATTCAAACAACGAATTCACAAATATTATAATTCTGATACAAAAATTAAACAACATATAGACAATTTTTTTTACCAATACCATATATAAAAGGCTTATTCCATCAACTAAAAAGTCTATTTAAAACAGATAATATAGAAGTGTGTCACAAAAGCTTTAATTTAATATCGGAATGTTACACAAAATTAAAATCAAAAACTTCTAAAAACAAAAAGAGCAACATAGTATACCAAATTCCCTGTAAGAATTGTGACGCTGTTATATAGGTCAGACAAGCCAATACCTGGAAAATCGTCTAAAGAGACATAAATATGACAAAAAACATTACAGCACTTGTTACTCACAAAAAAAATAATCACACCTTTGATTACAGGCTACATCTAGTAAAAAGTCTGATTTATCCTCATATCGATTATTGCAGCCAAGTATATTATGCATTCTTACCCAAATATAATAAGCTAAAAATACAAAGAATTCAGAACGCCGGTATGAGATTTGTGTGCAATTTGTCTTATCGAGATCATATTAGTCCTCATCTAAAACGTTTAAATGAACCAGATATGCGCGAAAGATTGGAATATTTGTATGTGATGTTATTATATAAAATATTTAAAAATAAAATCCCCATTTACTTAATAAAATTAATTATTAACAGATCTCAAATTCATAGTGTCAACATCAGAGTTAATTCTTTTACAGTCCCTCAGCACACTACATCAAAATATAAAGATTGTTTTTCCTATATGGCTCCTATCTTATTAAATAAATTTATAGATGACTTAAAAGGTAATGTACGATCTAAAAGTGGGATGTCACCATATTTCAATTAATACCTTTATAGTTGTATTTTTTTAAATAGAACACCCTGTATATTATTCTATTTTTGGATTCTACGATTAAAATAAAGGTAAATTTGATTAAAGTTTATCACACTTAAACCTTACCGTTTTTGAAATATTTTCAATTTTATGAAATTGCAGTAAAAATTTTAAGGCTTTATTTCTCCAAGGGTATCAAAGTTTTTAATACTAAATATTTTCTGAAGATTATTCATTCATGAGATATTGTGTTGCAATAATAAAAAAATTACTACCTTATACAGAGTGTCCAAAAATTTATATTAAATAATTACTAGCTTTAAACGGCAATAACTTCTTTAATTTAAATGGAACGCCCTATTTTTTTACGGGAATCAGATGCACAATGTAATTGTCTATCAAATTGTATTATACCATTTCTTACTCATCTCTTTAAGTTTTCGTATAAAATGCATTTTCTTATAATTTAGACCTCATTTATCACTATACCCATGGAATATTAACATTTTAGCTTATTCTTAACAAATTTTTAAAGATGTATCAAATTTTTAAAGGGTACAGATACTAATATTGTCGATATAGTTCGCTAATTAAAAAATAAAAAAAAAACTGTTTAAATATTTTTTGTTAAAGAGGACCAATTAATATGATCCCAGTATTCAAACTACATTAATTGACTGTTTACGTTCATTAATAATAATTGCTCCAAATACTAAAAAACTGAATTTTGTGTGTATTAGATGGTGTGGTAAATGTCCCAATTTTATTTCATTTTTTGACGAATACTTATTTATAAAAACAAAGACGTTCATTTTCATAACTTATTATTATATTGTTTTCTGAGCCAAATCCACATTTATGTAGAATACTTTATTAATTAAAACAATTTAAAAGTATGTAATTAAATAATTTTTGGTTGGAAATAATGGTGGTATATTTAATTGATATACTCTTTTACTAAGATTTAAATAGTTTTTTTGTATGCCATTGCAATATTTACCTGTGCTATAAAAAAAATCTGAAATGTCAATATTCCATGGGTATAGTGAAAAATAAGGTCTAAATTATATGAAAATGCATTTTCTACTAAAACTTGAAGAGATGGGTAAAAATGATATAATACAATTTGATAGACAATTACATTGTGCATCTGTTTCACGTAAAATATATAGGGTGTTCCATTTAAATTAAACAAGTTATTGCCGTTTAAAGCTAGTAATTATTTAATATAAATTTTTGGACACTCTGTATAAGGTAGTAAAATTTTTATTATTGCAACACAATATCTGATCAATAAATAATCTTCAGTAAATATTTAGTATTAAAAACTTTGATGCCCTTGGAGAAATGAAGCCTTAAAATTTTTACGGCAATTTCATAAAATTGAAAATATTTCAAAAACAGTAAGGTTTAAGTGTGATAAACCTTAATCAAATTTACCTTTATTTCAATCGTACAATCCAAAAATAGAATAATATACAGGGTGTTTCATTTAAAAAAATACAACTGTAATATTTTTTACTTATTTGGGACACTTTGTATCTTGTAAAAATATTTTTAAATTGTAGCTCTAATAATCCTTAAACAAACCAAAAACTTCCAATTTGTAAAAATCTAATCGTTTAGCTACAATACTCCGTGTCGTATGTGGTGAACAACCCCCTGTATATCATTGTAGTGGAGTACGAGTAGATACCGAATACAATTATTATTTTAACCGAAGTTATTTATGAAAACAGTTCTAATTTCCTGTCCTCGTGCATTTGCAATATTCGATCTTTTCCAGTAAATTTAATTTACTAACGACGCATTCGAAAACAGGAATTACTCTGTAAATAACAACTGTGACATTGGAGATATTGTTTCAATTTCCGGAAGACTAGATGATATTTATTTCGAGTTTGGCTTTATCTATGTTTATGTCAAATATATTATAAAGCAAGTTTCCATTTGGAAAACGTACCGTGGAAATATATTTTCGATATTCCTATCTATTCTTTACTTTGATAATTATGATAGATGCTTTTTATTTATAGATAAAAAACTTAATTTGCACTAATAGTTTTTTGTTTAGAAACTACATATATTAATAATAAACAAGAATTGGCTGCTGTAGGTTTAACACAACGAAACATTTTTTCTACCTAGATAAAAAAAATATGATCTTTTTCAAATAAAGTTTTTCAAAATTCGGCAAATGAACTCATTTTATAGCCATTTATTAATTTAAATATCAAATTTGATAGATACTCTTAAGCAACATGTTAAATTTTATTTTGTGAAGGGTCAGGGGAAAAAGCACGTCATTTTTTTGCTATATTTAGTTGCGATTGTAGTTATGGTTGGGAAATATAAGAAGAAAAATGTTATTAAGTGCAATGCTTGTTCAGCAAACATTACAAAATCGCAAGCATCTATGAGATGCCATGGTGGGTGTAGTGGATGGTTTCATAAGGCGCGTACGAAGTTATCTAATGAGGAGTACTTAATATTCAGTTCAAAAACTTATAAGAATGTATGGAAATGCCCTAAATGTGTTGAAGCATCTGATGGAGACGGTGATGGAGACGAACAATCTGAATCGGATGAGGAAATCCAAACGACATGTTCCACTTCACAACAGCGTTATTCTATTCATGAATCATTAAATCAAGCGAACCCCTCTAATAAAGATATATTAGATGTTATGACAGCAAAATTTTCTATCTTGGAGAAATCTATTCAGTTTACCAGCGATATACTTGATGATTTACAAAAAACAATTAAGGCAGTTGGTCAGGAGAACGAGCGACTCAGGAAGGAGCAAAATGTATTGAAAGGCAAAGTTCAGGGTGTCGAGGATCAGGTTCATGTGCTACAACAAAAAATAGATAATGAAGAACTTCAGGAAAAAAGTTGTAATGTGGTCGTTGTTGGGTTACCAGGCAGCCCTACTGATAACTTACGAAAAGTGTTCCATAAACTTCGATTTGCTGTTCAAGATGAAGAATATACTATTTTGCCGCTTCGCACTGAAACTCAGCTTGTGAGATTTACTAAGCCAGAACTCTCTAAGAAGCTACTGGAACTTCGGAAATCCATCAGAGTGCTTGATACTAAGGATCGTGGAATAGACGGAGAGACGAGGAGAATCTATATAAATGAAGACTTGCCAAAAACGACAAGACTTATTGAAAAAGGCCAGAGAGTTGAAGAATTTTGGTTACAGGTATGTTTGGTGTAGGAATGGAAGGATATTTGCTAGAAGGGATGAGGGCGAAACTTTAGTTAAGATTAAGGATTTGGAGTGCATTAATAAATTAATGAACAATTAATATAACAATTTATGTTTTTTGCTGTGTACTTTTTATTTAAGAATGGATTCACTTAAAAAAATTAAATTTGGACACGTAAATGTTCGTTCTCTGAACCCTTGTATAGATAACATTGAGGAACTGTTAATGGAACATGAAATAGATTTTTTGGGAATAACGGAAACTTGGCTTAATGATAAAGTAGATAGTAAACTGGTAGATATTTCCACTCACAAATTTCTTAGGCAGGATCGTGGCTCTGGGCGGCGAGGAGGTGGTATTGGAGTTTTTATTAGGGATTGCTTGGAACATCGTATCGTTCAAGAGTATTGTAATAGTGACGCTGACTTAGAACAGTACTGGGTTTTGCTACAACTACCAAAAATTAAAATGATAGTTGGTATAATTTATCGGCCGCCTAAGGGTAGTGTTTCTAATGCACTTAATAATTTGGAAAATCGCTCTTTTAGCATTTTACTTCAATGCGATGAAGTGATACTTATGGGCGACATAAATATAGATGTTGTCTGAAGGTATATACCAGAATCAGGTTAACGATATACTCAATGCCTTTCAATTAAAACAACTAGTAGTATCACCAACTAGAATAGTCGAAAAAAAAAGTAGTACGCTTATTGATATAATAGCTATGAGTAATATTAATTTGTCTGCTGGCGCACCTGTCCACGTAAATATGCATGATATTACAGATCACCAAATGATATTCCTTAATATAGGAATAAACATAAGTAAAGTAAAAAATTAAATATCATTCTTATAGAGATTTTCGGAATTTTGATGGGACTGAGTTTAATAATGACTTGCGTAGATTAAGTTGGCAAAGAATATTTCATAATAATGATATTGATAGTAAAATTGATATTTTCACTAATTATATGATGGGTCTCTTTGAAAAACGTGCTCCCTTTCGACGAGTAAGGTTGACAAAACCAAGAGCACCATGGTTTAGTACGGAACTAGTCTTTTGAAAAAAGATTGTAACCGTGCCTTTAGTCGATATAAAAAAACATTAAGTCTGGAGGATTATGGAGTTTATAAGAGAGCTAAAAATAAGTAAAGAAGAAGTAAATAATGAATATAATGAATAACGAAGAAGTAAATATGAATATCTCGAAAATACTCGAAAAAATCTCAGTAAGCGTGAAATATGGCAAGCACTTAATAACTTAAATGTACATAAGCGCAATAATACTAAAAAAAATCCAGATAATCTTAAAGATGTGAACACAATAAATCGCCATTTTGTAGACTCTATAGAGGCTCTGAAATGTGTGACTGATCCTGTTACTGTTAACTTTTATAATAATAACACATTAGCACACGTGAAAACATTTCAGTTTAATAGCATTAATGAAGCAGATCTGCTTGATGCCCTTGCTAGCATTAAATCCAATGCAGCAGGCTGCGATGGTATATCTCTATTAATGGTTAAATTGTGCTGTCCTTATATTGCCCCCTACCTTGCTCATATTTACAATTGCTGTTTAAATAATAGCTATTTTCCGATTAGTTGGAGAAATGCAATGATCATGCCCTTGCCAAAAATCTCCAATCCTACAAGTTTAAAAGACATTCGACCTATAAGTAAATTGCCAGTTTTATCAAAGATATTGGAAAAGTTGGTATATAGTCAAGTTTTAAATCATTTAACTAAACATAATTTGATCCCTGATTGCCAGTCAGGATTCAGGAGTAAATATGGTACTTCTGCCGTTTTAGCTAAAGTTTTGGATGATATATTAACAGAATTAGATACAGGTAAGGGTGCAAGTCTGCTTCTATTAGATTATACTAAGGCATTTGACACCTTGGGGCATGACCTTTTACTGGCAAAGCTTCATTATTACGGGTTTTCGGAAAATGTTGTGGAATTGGTTGGCAGTTATTTGTCTAATAGATGCCAGTGTGTAGTTCTCGATGAGGCTCAGTCGGATGCTTTACCGCTTTCTAGGGGTGTACCTCAGGGTTCCATTTTGGGACCACTCTTGTTCCTTATTTACACCGCTGATTTGAAAAATAATGTTGTGGATTGCGAACTGCATCAATTTGCCGATGACACGCAAATATATGCAACTTACACTGCTGAAAATGCAGCAGCTGTTTACAATAATATTAATTCTGCTCTTGAGAAAATAAGTAAATACTCATTGAATCATGGTCTTCAGTTGAATCTTGGCAAAACTCAAATGATTTGTTTTGGTAGGGTACCCTTAGCAAAGGGATTATCTGTTAAACTGAATAACGAAATAATCCATCCATTAAAAACTGTCAAGAATTTGGGTTTGGCTCTAGATTGTGATTTGAGATTTCGAAATCATGTCAATTCGATTGTGCAGAAAAGTTATACAGCATTGAGGGGATTGTATAGGAATAAAAATATTATGAGCAAGCATTGAAACGTAGTCTATGTGACAGTTTGGTTCTTAGCCATGCCAACTATGCTGACATTGTCTATGGACCTTGTCTTGACGTGCGGTCCTCTTCCAGAATACAGAAGATTCAAAATTCATGTGTACGTTTTATTTGTTCTCTGGATAGAGGGGAGCATATCTCACCTTGGCTTAAAGAATTGAAGTGGCTTAATATGTATGAACGCCGTAGACTGCATTTGGCTACCTTTGTACACAAACTAATTAAATTACAGACACCATTATATTTAAAATCTAAATTAAAACTGCGCCAAACTGTTCATAGCAGAGACACTTGAAATATTAATCAGTTATATCTACCTCAATATAAGACCTCTTTATATCGACGATCATTTACGTATTCTGCGGTCTCGTTATATAATTCCCTACCAAGTGCTTTAATAGCTAAGTCCCTCGGTTCATTTAGATCGGGGTTTAGAGATTTATTATTCCATAATGTGAGTTGAGTATACTTTTTGAAACCAGCCAACTATGCCTCTCCTTGGCTCTTTCTTCAACAACACCAATACATGCCTGTTGCCTTATGTTATTGCATAATGTACTTATAGGTATTAATTGTTTTCTATGTGTGCTCTATGTGTTACACTAATAGTTTTGTTAATGCTTTATATTTTTTTGTATTTTTCATTATTTTTTTTTGTTATTATATTTATACATTTGATATATTAATTTAAGATAAGGTAGAAGATATTGATATTATTTGTTAGGTTATACTGTAATGGTACTCGGTTAACTAAGCAGTTATTTACTGAACTTCGCCGAGGATTATTAAAATAAAGACATATTATTATTATTATTATTATTTAAATATTCGGTGCATTTGGTTCAGAGTGAATGTTAGGTCCTAGACACTCAATGATAATTTTATAGAACTACATATTTAGTTTTTTCCGCATCGCCAAACGGCGTAAAAAACATTAAAGTACATGTCTCTAATTTATATATGAAGATGACATGACAGTCTCTCTGCTAACTACCGTCCATGGTCTAGTTTTGGTCTGGATGACAAAATTTTTGGTGATCTGTGAGTTTAAATCATTATTAAAATAATTATTAATTCAGATATTCCTGATTTGTCAGAAAGTTCGGCAATTTCAGTGATGTGTGTTTATAGTTTGTGTTTTTATTAGTTTGTGCATTTTGATATTTACAGTCGATCATCATTGTTGATACTAAACTTTTTTATTAGTCATTTTGAAATTTTAGAAATTATAAATTTACGAATCAAATAATAAAATAGTTTAATCATAAATAAGTAAGTACCAACAGTATGATCGAAAAAAAAACGGCGTTAGCGATGGCTATGAAATGAAGATCGATGTCATTTTATATGAAAAAAATCGTTTTTTCGAACGTAGTTGGTAATATATATATAGTGATTTTAATAACAGTTTATTAGTAGTCTATAATATTTTTACTATATTATAATTTATTTGTTAAATCTAAAAAATAGGCGATATATGCTCTATTGTTGGTGTTTAAAATGTATGTATTCATAATTTTAATTTTGTTTTGACTATGATACACTTCTAATGATCTAATAAAATATAAAATGGTAATAGAAAAGTCTATATTTATTATTTTATATTTTACAAGGAATAATTTTGCGTTTGTATAACGTTGCCGTTTTAGTTTGGTTTGAACGCTAAAATTATGTTATGCGAAAACTCTCCATTAGTTTATTTCAGATCACCAGGGTACCCTAAATAACGGACCCATTTGTTTTACAGTGTCAATCTCTAGTAAATGACATTAGTCTATGGTTAATGTAATATCTTTCGAAGCCGCTAAACTGGGAAAGAAGCTATCTAGTTAGAAGACATATAGTGTCAAAGTTATAGTATAAAGGAAAAATGGCAGGAAAGTCGTGATTAGCAATATAAAAAATTCATTTTAAAGCATAGGTATAAAAGTAAAGTACTTTTACGCCAAAGCACAAAAGTACGAAAATATATTATACACATTAAATTGTCAAATTCAACGAGCGTAACCATAGTTTCTCTATATGTAATTACATACAAGGTCTTACTTTTTATTTTTTTATATTATCTGGAACGTTTGCAATCGTTTAAAAAAATATTTGTAGCGTTTAAAAAAAAAATGGCATGTTCTATTCGGATTAAAAATGACTTTTCGAGCCTCGCCTGTATGTCGGCATCGCCTGTATACAGCTTCACCACAAAAAGTGTCATTTTTACTCCTTATAAAACAATATACTATTACCAAGTTCAAACAAATCTCTATTGCACTATTTTTATAAGTTCCTGTACTCTATTTTTGTAATGTTTTGAAAATTAAATCGTGCTTTCCTCAGTTTGGAGAGAAATTGGCTTACCTGCATTTTCCCCTGACCCTTTATGTCATAATTTATTTTAAATTTATTATATTTATGTCAAACTATAAAATCATTAATAATATGTATTCTGTAAAAATTTAAAACTTATTGTTGTAGATAATGACAGATAAATGTCTGTTCTTTATTTTAACTCATCTGAAATAAATTTTATTAATTAAGCTCCTTTTATCAGTTGAAGCTCCGCAACCCTAAAAATATGGGAAACAAAAGAAGATTTATTGTGTTAACCGTACAATACATTATAACACTTCTTCTGTCTGAGAAATGAATAATTGAATTGACCTAGTTTAAAAGCAAAGTTTCTGTAATATTACTTTTAGTATATTTATAATGTTTCTCTTTATACAAAAAAAAAGGAAAAGTGCGAGTCGGACTCACCCACCGAGGGTTCTGTACAAATTTGTAGGTACATATAATAGGCTTGGTGCATTTCAGTTGATTTCAACAAATTCCGACCGCAGCGCACTCTATGGCAGAAATCAGAAATTATCACGTACTTCATGCCGCCGCCATGTTGATCGCATTAAAATAATATTCAAATCGTGGTTTTGTCATAATATTTAAGTATTTTAGTTTTTTGCTAGCTCAGTTATTGGGACTAAAAAACACTCAGCTACGAGGTTTGTGTGATCTAATGCTGTTTCGAGTATGCTGTTTCGGGCTAATGCTGTTTTGGGTATAAAAAATAATTGAAAAAGAATTCGAACTAGGCGTCGGCGTCGTGTTGTGTTGTGACAATTAGCGATGGGAACTATCGAATGAATTAGACTATCGAATGGTTAATGAATGAATGATTTCAACTATCGAATGGTTTTATTCGAATAAAATCATTCATTCATTTGTATAATAAAGCATATGTGACAACCTCGCCGTGCGACTAAATGGTTATCGTTGAGCCACGACTATCGAATGCTTTTGATAAATTAAATTTAGTATTCGTTTGATTTTTGTATGCGTCAGTGCATTATTAGTTCTTCCAAATTTTTATAACTTCGCCGTATAAATACTGTGCTATTTTTGCGTTTATTAAAATAGTTAAAATACTAAAATAGTAGTTATTTTTTACTTTTATTTATTGACGATTGTGTGCATGTGAGGTGGTCAAAATTTTTCCGAAAATTTGTGTGATTTTCCGTAGCCCAATCTTTCAATTATTTAATTTTATATGATATATGGTCTATTTTTTAATGGGAAATTTTGAGAAGTAGCAATTTTTAAGAGAGATGAGATGAACTTACAATTAATTTTAAAAATACATATTTGTATTTTGGATGTTATAATAATATGACTTAGTTGAACTTAATAATCATATTTAAGTAATGTGGTTAAGTAAATGGGGGGTTATCGAACTCAAACTATGGGGTGAGATAATTAAATTGAAAGTTTTACACGTGCCAATTTAAAAAAAAAGATAACGATGTTTGTATTTTGTTTATGCCAATTCTCTTATATTTTTAAAGTAAATGCCAGTAAAAGTAAATATTATTTTTAAATAATAATATAAAGTACCTAATATAAATAGTTTTGATTTCTAATTTTTTATTAATATTTTCCTTCCATTACACTGCATGCTTAGAAAATTAATAAATGTTTATATTTCATGATTTTAAAATTTGTTGTTAATATAACAAATTAGTTCTGTAATTAGTATTATTTAATAAACCAACGTTGCCACACAAAAAATTTAGAGACTATATTATATTTAAATAGGATCTAATATAAATAATTTTGACATCTAATTTGTTGTTTATATTTTGCTACTACTTAAAAAAATGTTTATATTAAATTATTTTAAATTTTGTTGTTAATAGGTATAAAAAATTATTACTGTTATTATTATTTATTAAACCAGTCTTTGCTTAAAAACATTAAAAATAATTTTCCTACATCCAAAATAGCAAGTATTATTGAAGTGTAACAACAGAATATTAATAATAAAAATGCAAAATATATAGACATACTATCCCTAACTAACTAAAGCCAAACAATAATATTCTTTGCTAATATCAACTAATACCAATATATGGCAACAGCGCCCTTCATAATGTATTTTCTGTGTAAATACGAACACCTCAATAAAAAAAATAATGTGTCCTTATCTTTATCTGACTCCGCAAAAAATGAAAGATGCCGGCTTCTTTCATAGCATTGCCACCGACCGCTGCCGGGTTTCTCGGAAAGAAACCTATGCCGAGCGACAACTAAAATCCAGTTAATGTTTTATTATAATCGATCCTGACGAATAAATGAATTTTATAAATGAATGAATCTTATAAATGAATGGTTTTTGCTGCCGAATTACTAGAATACAATATTTCAAGGCAGATGACGCATCTATTCGATAATTTTTATTCGAATAGTTTTCAACGAATGTTTTCTTACTAACTAGTCGCAGTTGACCGGTCGATCCAATCAATACCTCTGTCAGTACTTAAAGTTCTAGGGAAAGGTGTACGTCATGCGTTCAGCTTCACGATTTAATTACGTCTCGTGATACTTAATTTGTTTATCTATTAACGAGTCGTTGTCATTTTCCCCAAAAATTTAAATACTTAAACTATGAGAGGATAAAATATGATTTCCAATACTAATGGTATACTTTTTTTAATCA